AATCTTTTTGATGGAGGTGCTGTAAAGAGGGTAAGACCCATGATTCTCACAGAACAGCTTATCATTCAAAGACAAAAAAAGTAAGAAATCCATTGCTATGTAACAGCACATACAGTAACCACACAATGGATAAAGCAGCAGCCAAATTGGAGGCATTCTTCAATCGAATGAGGAAATTGTTCGTCGTCTTCAAAATCACTCGCCTCTCCTTCCAATTCGAACTTCGAAGCATAGCTTCAACTTTCCCTTCTGCAACCCAATACATCCATTTCTTGACCATTAACTTCATTCGATATATCTGAAGACCATACAATAGTGGGAGTGCCATCATAATCGTCGTAAAAATCTTAGCCCTCGAGATCTTTACAGCATAATAAGGCAACCAAACTAAGACACCCGCTTGAACGAAAATCAAAAGGGTAATCACTGTAGACATTGTCCTAGCAGCCAAACAAACCAGTTTGGAAATCAGAAACAAACCTGGCTCTGTTTCAATGTTCAAATAGCTCACTATCTGCAAATATTGGTTCATCTTGCGAGCCAACAAGAGAGGGGCTGCAGATGCCAGAATGCTCTATGTTAAGACGCTCGGATAACATGGAAGGATGCCATAGATCCAAATACAAGCTCCTAAACCTGATTGAGCCAAACCCAGAACTTCCAATGAATTTTTCAAGCCCGTGATGTTGTCTATCGACTTGCTGAGAAACTCTCGAAGCTCGTTTTCCAATAATGAAGAGTGGTTCGAATCATTGTTGTCAGATTCTTCGGAGGAGCTTTTGGCCGGTGGAAGTGTGCCATTTCCTGGCCTAGAAGTGGAAAATGGAGCCGATCTTATGAAGGTAGGTTCCAGAATTTCGGGTTTCTGGGTGGGATTTGGAGGTGTTGAACTATGACGAAGATGGGATGGTCGCTAAGCCTCCGTGAAATTGAGGACGCCATTACTGTGAGACTGATAAGATTCGGTGAAGTCAAAAGAAATTTTTTTGGGAAAATTTCATTTAAGATTCAGTGATGTGATGTATTAACAAAAAAGACCTAAATAAATTTGAAATTACACTACAATATTAAAATATTAAATTGAAATTAATTTTTATAAAAAATGATGAAAATGTTCTTCATTTATTTAAAAAGAAAAAAAAAAACTATCAACTATCGCCACTAAAATGCCATGCCACTACTGTCGATAGCACTCACCAAACCCCCGGCCAGCGACTAGGTCATCGTCAATGGTGGTTGGCAAATTAATCCAAAGGTGGCTAGGAGGTTTAAGCTCATAATTTTTTAGTTCACCATAAAACTAAAGATCACTAAGTCATTGAATCTCTTTAATTATACAATATATAAATATAAATATAAATATATATACATATATATAAAATAAACATTGTTCTCAAATCTCTTAATTATTATATTATTTATTATTTGCATAACTTTACTTGTTACTTCTTCAATAAGACTTGTTAATTATTTAATTTTTCTTGTTAAATTTTTTCTCAATTGAATTACATTACTTGTTAATGCATAACTTTATTTTTTAATTCTTAAACAATACTTATTAACTACTTAACTTTACGTGTTACTTCATGACTCCCTAAACTCAACTACATTACTTGTTAGGGCTAAGGTTCAATTTTGTCCATGTATTTTTTTAAGAGCATTGGACATCCTATACTCTTAACTAAAATAATTGTACTCCTAAACTATTTTTTCAAGGAGCAAAAAACCCCTTCATTAATGAACCGTTAATTTGTTTATTTTTACTAACATAGCATGTGCTTGAAGCCCACGCACAATAATATGTAAAACTTTGATCATATCCTTTATTGCTAATATGCTCCTAAACTCTTTTTTTAAGAGCACTGAGTAGCATAATGTCTTTTTTTAGGAGCATTATGCACCTTAAAGTCTTGTTAAAATAAAATTTAATAATTATTATTAAAATATTAAGTATTTTAATATTTAATAATTTAAGTATCATTATTTAAAATATTACACCACTCAATGTAATATTTTAAAATTCTGAAATTTTATAATAAAAATGAAGGGAATGAATCTCTAAATTAATAAAAGGATTTTTTCTTCTCATATTTTTATTTTTTTCTTATTAAATAACTTTTTTTGTAGCACATTAATAAAATAAGTGATATCTTTTAAATAAATATTTTTGTTGTCATTTTGTTGATCTTAATTTTCTAATTTTACCCCTACCACTACAACATATAAAGTGTTAAATTTAGATAATGTAATATTTTGAAAGAAGATCGTTAGTTGACCAAAACAATGAAAGAACTTAACCAATATTAAAAATATAAGTAAGTTTTGATACATACAAAAAGCGTAATGATTTGGACATTATCTCGAAAAGAAGATCAACAATCGATATATAAAAAATAATAAATTATCTTTATATTTATAAAATGCTAGTGTGAATTGTTAATATTTAAAAATTAATTTATAAATTTTAAATGAATATTTATAAATAATAATGTTTAAATTATTAAATATAAAAATATTTAATATTTTGGTAATATTTATTAAATTTTATTTTAATAAGACTTCAGGCATCTAGTGCTCCTAAAAAAATATTTTAGAGTGCTCAGCACTTGTAGAAAAAGAGTTCAAGGGTAAATTAGCACTAAAACACATGTTACATTAACAAAAAATGAAAAAAATTAATGGTTTATTAATGGAGGGAGTTTTTTGCTCCTTAAAAAAATAGTTTCGATGTAAAATTATCCCACTTAAGAGTATAAAGTGTCTAGCACACCTAAAAAATAAATACAAGAGTAAAATTAAACCTCAACCCCACTTGTTAATTTTCTAACTTTACTTCTTAATTTTATAACAGCACTTGTTAATTTTGTTGATCCGAAAAGCAATTAAATTACTTGTTAGTTGCATAACTTTACTTGTTAATTCATTAAGATCACTTATTAACTAGTTTACTTTTCTTATTAAATTTGTGACTTCCTAAATTAAATTACATTACTTGTTAATCATATAACTTTAGTTATTAATTCCTAAATAGGACTTATTAACTATTTAACTTTACTTGTCAATTCATAACTCCCTAACAAACCTTATTAACTACTTAACTTTACTTATTAAATTTGTGACTCCTTTAACTATAATACATTACTTGTTAATTGTGCAATTTTACTTGTAAGTTCCTCAATGTGATTTGTTAATTACCTAACTTTACTTATTTTAACAAGTCTACTTCTTGTCATAAAAATCAAGAGGCTTAAAAACAAGGTTTATTATATATATATATATATATATATAATTTTAAGGGAGTCAAGAATTTAGCAAGTGAAGTTAAGTAATTAAAAAATCATGTTGAGAACAACTAAAATTAAACAATTAACAAGTAATATAATTCAGTGTAGAAGTCACATATTTAATAAGTAATTTTATTAATAAGTGATGTTAATGAATTAACAATTAAAGTTATGCAATTAACAAGTAACTTAGTTGCTTTTCAAATTAAGAAATGAAACAAGTTTTGTCACAATATTAACAAGTCAAGTTACGAAATTAACAAATGCTGTTGTGAAATTAACAAGAAATACAATTGAGTTTAGAGAGTCACAAATTAACAGGTAAAGTTAAGTGGTTAAAAAGCCTTGTTTAAGAATCAACAAGTTATGCATTAAAAAGCAACACTAAATTAACAAGTAAAATTGAGCAATTAACAAGTCTTGTTGAGAAATTTAAAAGTAAATTTATCCAATTAACAAGTAATGTAATAATCAAAAAGGGCTTGGTGGTCATTAGTTTTTTGGTGAGCCAAGGGGCCATGAGTTCAAACTCGTCCTTAATCACATTTGAAAAATTTAATTCTCCAGCCATTGCAGTGGTTTGGCTATTGGCTGGAGCTCTAGCAACAGAGGTTTGATGACTACCGGTTGTTGTCAGCGATGTTCCGACGTGGTGGCTAATGGTTTTTTCTTTTTTTTTTAAACAAATTTTAGTTATTTCTTATAAAAATTAATTTCAACTTAGTGTTTTGATGCTGCAGTGTAATTTCATATTCATTTGAGTTTGATTTGTTAATATGTCACTTTCTTAGTTCTTAAATGACATTCTCTCATCCCAGAGCTGGATTCTCTCCCCTACAAAGGAGAGGAGTGGAGAAACCAGTATAGATCTGGACCGTTAAAATTAAATTTAAAAATTTAGGTTTAATAATTTTTAAAATACATATTTAATTTAAACGATCCAAATTTATAGTAGAGAGATAGTAAAAAAAAAATGGAGAGAAACCCACCTTTTTTTTCCCTAGTAGCACTCGTATAGGGGAAAGGAGAGTTTTTCTCGTAGAGAAAAGGACGGAGAAATTCTCATATAAACTCCATCAAGTATATTACCATTACTACTTGCCGAAAATGTAAAAACATGTAACAACCATTCAAAAAAAAAAACATGTGATACTAAATTTAATAGGAAGGCCCGTTACTATTTTCTTTTGGTAAAAGGCCCATTATTCAAAAAAAAAAAACAGTATTAATTGGTTTAGGCTTCAAGCCTTCAATAATATGGAAATCTTCAGGCAGATCAAAATATGTAAATAAAGACCTACAAATGTTGCCAAAAAAAAAAATCACTTACATTGTGATGAATCTTTTAAAAACCTTACTTGATTAAAAATATAAAATATTAAATAATTTTTATAATTATATTTTTTAACTATACCCTTTCTTTATTTATTATTTTTTTGAAACTATGACGCATTTGAAAAAAATGTATTTAATGAGAGTATAGTTAAAAAATATAAAAAATTTTAAAAAATTAAGATTCTGACTAACATTATTTTATAATCATGAATTAATTATCAACGTCTTATATTTTGATAAAAAAAAAAGTATATGATGTTTTGCAATCAACAAAGTGTACTCCCATACCCCAAAATAATAATAATAATAAAAGAATGCCCAGAACAAGTTTCTTAAAAAAAAAAAACATTCAGACATCATTTTTAACAAAAGTCAAAAGAATAGTAATCACAATTTCTCAATGTATTTCACAAGATTTTTTTTTTTTAACAAATAGAGATCAACAAATTGGTTTGATACAAGTACCGTTTGAGTCACCTTGAAAAAATTAGAATTATACACCAAATGACCCAACCTTAAAGATACAAGAAATGTTGCCTAAGTAGTAGTACAAAGACTATTCACAGAATGCTAGCTCAGCTCCATCGCTGAAAATTGTGTTGCTTTCCCCTTTTTTTCGGTACACAGTTGCATTAAGCTGAGGACTTGGGTATCTTGAATTGTTTCTTGAGAAACTGTGAAGCTTCTGAATCACTCCTATGGCATAATATTCTAATTAGAGTTTTGGAATCTGCTCCTAGTCTGCTTTTGCCACCTCGCATTTCCATGCCACTAGCAGATCTCAGGTCCTCAACCAACTCTCGAGTCTGCAACAGAATGCAGAGAATAAAATATATTTTAAAGAGTGATTCACATAAGAAACTATTTTCAACATATATATAATGCACATATCAATTGGTTTTCAATATGACAGCAAAAAAAATAATAATAATAATAATGCTAGTCCTTCTCATCATCTCTGGGGGTGTTTGGTAAAGTTGCAAAACTGAAATCAGAATAAATTAAGAATTGTAAAGTGAAGTTAAGATAAAAGTCAATGACTGACTTTAACATGATTTATGTTTAGATTCCCCCCCCCCCCAAAAAACAAAAACTTGTTTGGATGCTTAAATTCAAAAGCAAGTTTACATATGATATAAGAATCACATCCAAAGACCTTCCAAAAAAATTGTTCACAAATAATAAACATGTTAGTCACCATTCAGGAATAAACAAATTTTTATTACCATTTTAACAACAATAATTTTGTATTGATTTTTATCTTTGAATAATTTTTTTGAAGAATCCTTGGATGTGATTCTCCCCATGATAAATAATGACAAAAAAATGACAAATTTTATAATAAATATTCTTGTTTCTAATATGATCTTTTTATGACAAAAATTATTAAACTTCAAATTACAATTAAAAAAATAGTCTATATACAATTTTAGTATTATTTATAAATTATAAAACTCCAAAATAAGTTAACAAATTACAAAATATTAAATTCTCAACTGTTTTAACAAATTGACAATATTACATGACTAATAGTGCCCTATATAATTTACATGCGAAGCCAAAAGCCCAAACCTCCTTTTTTTTTTCAGTTTCAATTTAAATGGGCTTTTAGACCAAAAGCTCTTTTGCTTTTTCCTTTTTTCAACCCAAACATCATTCCATATTTACCAATAAGCTTGTAAGAGACAGACTGAGGTTTGGACCCTCCAAACCTCAATTTGGATCTCATCCAAACATGCCCTTTTCTGATTTTGATCTCCGAGAAGTTTTTAACCATCTGATTTTAATCCTCTAAAAAAGTATTTTGTCTCCAATATTATGCTCATGTTAAATTTGCTAACTGATAGATAATGAAGACGGATGACAAGGCCGTTAGGAACCTTGCTTAGTTTTAAATATTTTGAACGTACACTATTTAAAATTAAGTCAATCCAATGCCTTCCAGTAGTATATTACGCATATATTGCTTATCAAAGTATTTATGCAGACAGAGAAGCATCTGAACTGAACTAACCTCGTAGCTATGTAACTTTATCACATCCCGAACCCGTGCTACCTGATTTTCAACAATACCTCGAGGAAGCCCATCTCCTCCAGATATAAAGAACTCCTACAAAATGCATCACAAATTAATTAAAAATTATAGCTATGAAAAGTCCTTGGCACCGCCATTTTTGTGCTCCAACAAAGCAAACTACAGCCAAAATCAGAAGAATTCCGAACAAAAGGGAAAACTTAAGAAATTGTAAGAATTTTCAAAGGATTTGACAAGCAACTGGCAGCAGAAACATAAGATTTGTTGATGTTATGGGAATTCATCCTCTATTGTAATTTTTACACTAAACAGATATAAACAATGAAGCGCCTTCTTGGAGAACATTTGACTAGGTATAGTTATCCAGCACCTTGATCTGTGAACTTTACACATACCGTGCAATGGTGTATGTTACTTCATTCTTAATAAAGTTTTAAAATTTTGAAACTAGGAAATCCATTTTCAAATTGGAAAAACAACCCTCATGGCTTATCATCTTTAAACCTAAAGAGTTAAATTACTCGTCTCTTAACATTTAAACTGGCCTGTTGTAAAATACAATTACTGCATACCATTGGCGGCATTGGAATGCCTAGATTAAGATATACCATCCTGGCAATGGTGTTATGTTACTTCATTCTATAAATCTTTTAAAATTTTGAAACTAGGAAATCCTTTTTCAAATTGAAAAAACAACCTTCATCATTCATGATCTTCAAACCTAAACAGTTAAATTACTCGTTTCTTAAAATTTAGATTGCCCTGTTGTAAAATACAATTACTGCATGCTATTGGTAGCATTGGAAGCCTAGATTAAGATACCTTCAGAACCTCCAGATCTTCCTCCAATAATTTTGCATCACCAGGGAAGAAGACTCTTGATGGACCCCCATCTAAGATCACTCGGAGTAAGCCATCCTGGCAAGCGGGAAGTGTTAAATCGAAAAGACTATGAAAGAAATATGTCTGAAGCTGCAAGCAAGAATCAGGTACCAACCAAAGATGCTTGAAGAAGACTTGTCACAATGCGATCCCTAAGAGGCTCCACAATAATATCACAAAGTTGATTAAGTTCCTAAAAATAATGAATTGTGTAAATCACAAAATTAATTCCCCTTACAGAGTTCTTAATCAATATAAAAAAGTTATTGCGAGATAGAAAAAGAAATTTGGAGAATAGAAATTCGTCCTTGAAAAAGCATACAAGAAGAGACAGAATAAAAAATCAAAGAAAAACAAAGGCCCAAAACAGCTATCCAACCCCACAGCAAATTTACAGGGGAAATCCTCCTGATAAAGCCATACAGTGAACCCAAGAGCGGACAGATAGACTTCTCCCACAGTAAGTGAAGAGAAAGGAAAATCTGTTTTAAGAGTTGGCATAGTGTTCCAGCCACTAAAAGCGAGCAAAAATGGAAGAGTAGCAGACTGTCAAAGGTTTTTGTGTTCCTTTGTGCTGTTGAAACCTCTAAATTAAATTGCTAAAGAAACAGCTGGTTGAATAGGTAACATAACAACGCAAAAATTGATGCCAAAATTTGTATTCAAGTATTCATCAGAAAAGAAACTGACAAAGTAGGCAAACTAGAAATTTGATATAACATGTGATTTCACTTTTAACATCATATAATTTCATTTCACACAACTACATTTTCAAATTAAAAACTATCAAGCGAAAACTATATGACAGAAATGATATCTTTCCAATGAGACAAACATTACCACATCAAGTGGTTCGATTAGTGCTTCCATTCTAGAACCTGAGACACTGGGCTTATACAAGTTATCTATGAATGGCCCTCTCAGATCATAGAAGACAATTTTAGTTCCTGCAAGAGAATAGTTAAATTAATGAATTGATCAAACATGTTTAAATTTCGAGGAAAGACATGAAATTTCAAGATGTTACCTGTGTACTCACAAATGCGATCCATAGCAGCATTTATAGATTTTCTACACCCATCAAAGGTATCCTTCTGAGCAAAACTTTTGGACTTCTCGTCCATGGATTTCTCTACAACACAATAATTCATATAAGGTAAAATTCAAATATTTTCAGTATTCTAATCATTGAAGGAAAAAAATAATCAAGCATCAAGAAACGTCTAACGTAATTCAAAGTAAGAAGCATCCAAAGAAAGCATTTACTATCCTCTGTCTTAGGACCTCTCTTTATCTTCACAAAGTATTGTTTGCAAAGAAAGGAAACAGATAAGATATGACCATAATTATGCATGTTCATTGATGTTAATGTCAATCACAGAAGCAGCCTTCAAAATCAGTACTGTATGACAGTTTTCATCCATAATCATAACTGCATCAATAAAGAAGAGACAATACAAGATCACATAAGTGCATTGACAGAATGAATGTCAACTCACTTAACAAGTAAATCACCATTTTTAGTTAATGACTTTAGCGGAAGGATATAAAGATCAAGCTGAAACCTGAATGATAGGACATCCTCAATAAATTATGAAAATATAAAGAATTAAAGGAACTGCTTTATTAATAATCACCACTGTTTCTTTAAGAAAGAATCCATCCAACTAGTTTAACAAGCCACATTAAATGGATACAAATTCTACCTAGCTAAATAAGTAAGCAGGATCAATTTTTCATTTTTCTCTAATTGCCTTTTTGCAGTCATGATTAGCATGATAAACAGAAGCTTTAACTTTATTTTTCTTGTTTTTCTTTTCGTCTGTCGACAAAATAGGTTTTGCATACTGTATATGGCAGAAATACTCGCATCAGCTACTTACTTATGAGCTTTTCCTGGGACCTTTTACTTGTCCATTGCTCCCAAATGCTATCTTCCAATTTATTAAGCTGAGTAATCGCATACTGTAGATGACAGAAATACTTGCATCAGCTAAATGCCACAAAAATGGAAGGATTGAATGAATGGATGAATGAATATATATTTACATATAAGGTAAATGCTACACCAAGATTTAAAGAAGAATGAAAATAGACAATTATGTTGAAAGAGTTTTCACAATAACATCAGATGACTTCCTCAATGCAGCACTTCCCAACTATATCTTGATTATTATCCATGGTATAGGAACAAAATTAGATTTTTTTTTCCCCTTCCAAAGCAACGCATGAGATAAGTAATAACCTATTAAAACTTTTTATTGAGGAACACATTAATTTGAACAAAATTTTAGGTTTGGAAAATTCAAAATTCAAATTCAAATAGTAAAAAAGTAGAGACAAGAGATACAAATACATAAATAAGAAAGACACAGATTCCAACACAATCCGTATTGTTTATGTGCCTTGTGCATAGCGAAATTATAAACAAAAGCCACACTATACCAGGCTCATGAAAAGTATGACTTCTTAGATTTTTTATAGTGTAACAATAAGTTGATTTCCTTACCACATCAAGCTCAATCTATTCCAAATAAGAAATTTTAATACAGTAGTAATTTTTTTAAAAGGGAATTCTGATTACTAGTTTTCTGTAATGGGAAAAGAGGCAATCTGGGAGAAACAAATAAAGAAATAAAGCTTTTAGAGCATAGAGAAGGTAAGCATATCACTCATCCTCTTGATGGGCCTTAAAACTTGTTTCAACATCTGATCTGACCAACTGTGTTATGCTTTAAACTACAAACTGGCAGCAGAGAATGAAGGGGAAAAAGAAAAAAGGCCACCAATGAATTATTTCAAATGATAAGATGATTTGGAGAAAATGTTTCAATTTTTATTAGAAAACCTAACAACCAACCAAAAGATTATCCAAGCCTTGTCCAAAAGAAATATCCTCAACATCAACTAAATGAGACAGGAAAAACTGATCCAATATAGTTCAGGTTTGCTTGAACTCACATATAAAGTATTTAATTGAACACAAAGTGTCGAAGTTGCTAGGACACTAATTTCACTGGACTTTGTCTCATCAGGTGCGCGAGTGTCAAACAGTTCCTTCTTCACAAAAGCCTTTATTCCAGCCTCCTTTTTGTATCGCGTTAGTATTGGCACTGGGGGTATCAAGTCTTCCTTGCTAGCTGTGCAATCAAAGGGTACTTGAAGGTTCAAACAAATATATAAAGACTCATAGGGAAGAATTTATAGGAAAGTTGTTCATCCGCAGGATACACATTCATAACTCTTTCCAGATATCATGAAGCCTTTTGCAACTAACAACAGTTAAGAAAGAAGGCAATAAACAGATACTTAGGTAGATAAAATCTCAGAACATAAACACCAAGCTTATGGATTCACCAAACAAGTATTTAACTACATTAGTTTGGTATGGATGTTTAAAGAGCAACCAATACTCTTTACAAGTAGCAAATTAAATATTTTTCTTAAGAATACAATTTCAATTTTTGTCGCTTAAGCTTCCAGATATAATAGATAATTCGAGCTTGGGTGAGTGTAGGTGTATCCCTTGCATGGTTATGCCATGTATAAATTGAGAAAAGGTACAGAAGCTACTTTGCCATCTGCTCCCATCAATTGTTTAGCAAAATTAAAACAAAGATCTGGGTAGTCATTATAACTAAAAAAATGACCAAAACAAAACACTTGACATTAAAATAACATGAGAGGGTTCAAATCCTTCTTCCACAGATACAAAATCCAGATGTTTGCAGACAACAGGCAATCATCAATTCCGTCATTAAGTAATGTATATTGAAGAAAAAATTATGAAGCATCTACTCACCCATCCCATCAACAATGTGATTTGCATACTCTTGAAGAGCATTGTCCATGCCACGAAACAAGCTATTTAACTCTGTTGTCCTCATTGGGACTTTAAAAGCAAAAAATTGGTCAACTGTCTGCACAATAACAAATTTAAATTAAAAATTTAGTAGATAACAGGGTTAGAATAGCACTTTTACCACTAACACTAGTTTGTTAAAATTTCAATTGGTTTCCCAGTGGCATTAGTAAAACAGTCCAGAAAATAGTTGATATAGACTTTGACTTCTGATACTTTTTACAGGCATAATCAATGTTATTGATAAGATCTATAAAAATTCTACAAATACCATCATTCAAGAGGGAAGGATTCTTTTGCAAATGAATTTAATAGAATTTCCTTACAGCAGAAAATAGGTTCTGGAAGGATGTAAAAGAGACTAAGCTATATATCAATGTTCCCTGGAGAAGCTCCTTTCAAGTATTTGCACTTGTTTTTGGTCATTTCCTTAGTGTTTCTTCCCTTCCACCATTATTGGGGATTGAAGATTAATCTGAGGTTTCTCATCTTGTATGATGTACTAAATATTTAATGCAGACATGCAGATACAGACCAATGCTTATGACTAAAAATTCTTTGCCTTATCACATTCTTTCCTTAAAGATAACCTATAGTAAAGGTTGGTTGGTAGGCCATGAAAGCTATTCTTTTGGACAACTTGTAAAATAAAGCCAAAAAAGCTGCAAGATTCTTACCTCCTCCACAATCCTGTATACTTCTACAATGGAATTCGCATGACGCTGTTGAGGAGATATTGGGTCCCAATGCTGTGAAAGTATATTGGCCAAAAAATTAAAATGTGTACAGTCAAGTAGCATAATGGAAGCAAAAAAGAGAATGATATAGACCTAACCTCAGAAAAGAAAATAAAAAAGAATTGACAATGAAAACATGGCAAAAGAGATTATCAGCATAAGTCAAAGTCAAAATAATTTTAATATTAAAAATTATTCTTTTACCCTGTCTCACATAATAATACAATGCCTTCTAATGGCAAGGAATGAAATATATATATACACACACACTTTTATGCCTTTACAACACATCCATTCCCCCACCTCTTTTGTATTGTTTTCTTAGCAATAAATTTATTTTTTTCTATTAAAAAAGGACAAAAGAAAATATTAGGCAAGTTGGAAGGATAGTTCAAAACATTTTAAATATGAGTTTAAATTAGTCTTGTATGCTTTTCTTGCCAGTACATCAGGACATCTTCCCCCTAAGTTCTTCAATACCTCTTTAGAAAGAATATTCCCCATAAATGATAATTATAATATCGCATGCTCAATTCGTGACTTTGTAAGATATCATATATGCTTTCTCCTTTATCAAATAAAACTTTCAGTCAACACGTTCGGCAAACCAATTCTTCTGCAGGTGAAATCTCAAAGAGAAAAGGATGCAATTTGGAAAAACAATGGAAAACCCTATCTAGTAACTGATAAAGAAAATCAATTCAAAAATTCCTAACATTTTACAGGAGTAAAAAAGTATCATGTTGAGGTTCACCTCTTGCTGAATGGCCCGCTCCACCCAACCTACAATTCTTCCAAGCTGTGAATTGAGCCAACGCAAAACCAATGTGCCAGATTTTGTTTCAATCTATAACAGTAGGAGACCATGGAACAGATTTAGAAGAAATAAAGTCATGGAAGCTATATTCCCAAACCTCTAAAATTTCTAATGTGAAACTATTTGAGATACATATTATATATATATATATCAACAAACTAATTGACAATAAAAAAGCATGTGATAATCTACATCATGCACAATAACTATTATCTGCAAGGCGCAGCTAGGCCTCTAGGTCATGTCTGATCAAATTCAGAATATACGAAAACGTTCATTTCTGATGGCAGGTCTTTTTAAGATTAGAATGGTTAAGTATGTGGCGCATAGGTATTAGGTCCTTCTAAAGTCAACAAGCATTTGGATCAAATATCTGATCAACAAACGAGCAGAAGACCACTATTTTCCTTCTATCATTTTCCTCTTATTGATAGCTGACTTTATGCACAGAAAAAGCCAAAGATTAGGAGGCACTTCTATGTTGCAAGGATAACACCAGGGGTCAAGAGACTTATCCCAAGGTTTTTAGATGTAGGGGTAAAAACTAGAAAGGTGGTCCTGATGCTGATAGACAAGGGTAGGTGCCGCCAGAGGTAGGGGCAGGCTAATGGCTACTTTTTGGGTATAAGAGCATTCTTTCCATGTAAGGGAAGAGGAGTTCAGACTTTTGGAAGTGAAGTATGGTTTAGGACAGGGCTGGCTTCTTGAAAGCCAGTGTTGCTTCTATGTTCTTGAATGGTTCTGTGTCACAATGTGTTGATGCGTATTTTGTTCTGCTTGTATTTCTGTCACTATTATTTGATTGTAATTTCTGTAATTTGGGTGTATGAGGATCATCATTTCCCTTGTCATCTGATTTAGTTATGCGGTGATATTATTATCAATCTCAAGTTATCCCATTCTCCTGTCGTCTATTTCTGGTTTTGGTCTTATTACCAGCTCATTATAGTAGCGGATCTTATCATTTTTCACATTCCAAGGACCAAATAAAACATTTTTTACCCTTTAACAATAATAATTCTAGCTACCAAACCTGGTATTGATTCAATTTCCTGCAGAAGATCTCTGCATTCTCTTCCTCACACGCAGATGTAATAAGGACCATTATAAATTGCTCAAGACTTTCAGCAGCTGGGAAAACGGAAATGACATCCTCAGTCAGATGTTCAGCACCATCCATAAAAGGTTTCTGAAAATACAATCAATCAATTTTCACTATTTTAATATCTTCCAAACTCTCATCAGGAAAATACTAACAAACAAAAATAAAATGCATACTCACCAATTTGTTCCCATAAAGTTTGTGAACAAGGGTTGCAGACACAATGGTTGCTTGTGGATGCCTCTGAGACAAAACAGGCATGAAAGTCCCTGAATCCTTTTTAAGGAGTTTCTTGAGTTCTTCCGCAAGCAATGCCAAAGGATGCCCATGAGACATGTCTAATCTATCAACAACTTGCAATATCTGTCAAAAGTAAAGAGATTGCTTAAACAGAAAAAACAAAGAAAGTATCCTCTACTTTGCATTGGAAAACAAAACTGAGAAAGAAAATGATCTCATACACTCTTCAATTTACAAGTAGAAACAAAAGAAAGAGGCGCAAAACCATTTCAAGTGTCTTTACTTAGCTCTGACCTGGTAGGTATTTGGAGCTTATAGGATTAGAAATAGCGTTGTTACATGTCTAAGGTGAATGAATAGAAGCGCTAGAAGTGGGGTGTTGTCAGAAGATCAAGAAGCACAAAAATTAGTTTTAGGAAATGAACTAGATAAGGTTAGTTTGTGGATGAAAGCTACAATTAAATGGGCTCAGAAAGAGATGCTAGCTAGGTGTTTTCCATCGCACAGAAAACCCATAGTAGGAGACATGCAAGACACAAACAAGTGGGAGATGTAATGTTATACCAATAGCAGGGGATCTATTCAGTTACTCGAGGAGCTTTATTCAGAGTTCTCAGACATAACCATTTCATGAAGGTAAGGTTTAGCTTGGAGGCCTATTGCTAGTAATAAAAACTAATTATCCACTTGGCTAGAAAGGTATATTCAAACAACTTCACAATGTTAATTATCAGAATCTAGAATAAGCAACTAGAATACTCACCCTTGCAAATGCACTCTTAATTGATGATGAAATATATAACTCTATCTGGTCACGATCACTAATAGGCATGGACTGCAGATTCTGCATGTCAAAAGGTATGGAGAACTTTCGACATTTTGTAAAAAAGGAATACCATATCACATGTCAAGAAGTAATTTAAAGACACAAGGAATTTCATTTAAGAAATTTATATACTAATGCAATAATTTTCCTGGGAATGATATATCAACATGTGAAAGATGACTTCAAACTGAGTTACACATACAGTTTCTGGTTCTTCCAGTAGAAGCCTCCTAGTAATCATTGCAACTGTCACAATCTTTTCCATTGTAGCTGAACCCTACATAGTAAAAGGTGTTCATAGCAAAACTGAGGGGCAAAACTCCAAATTAGATCAGTTATAAATGGCTAAAAATCTGAAAAAGTTCCCATGAGACATGAAGAAGAAGAGAGAGTGTTTTCAATAGTTTTCTGTCTTCCCAAACAAAATAAAGAAGAGAAGAATAGCATGCACTTACAAAAGCAAGCAATCATTTAAAACCTTTGAGTACATGAAAACGTGATACATTTTGGCAACAGATGGAGAAAATAACCAAATATGTTGGAATAGTATTGGTTCACAGTTGTTCTTTGTTTAGTTAAACTATATAGGTCCACATTGGTTGTATCTCATTATACACAGCTTCTACTCCAACAAATTTTATACTTATTATACTCCAACAAATTCTTCTTGATTTCTCATTGGCGTATGATTTTAAGATTGCCAACACTTGTTTCAAGAAGAGAAATGAACATCTCATCACTTACAAAAGTGGAGCCTCAAGGTCACAGATTGATTTTCTTTTGGTTAGGAACACAGACAGAAGACTTTGTAAAAATTGTAAGGTGATCCCCGGAGATGCTGTAACGACACAACATAGGGTCTTAGTCCTTGATGTGTGTATTATGAGTAAAATCCAAAAATATCGACAAATAATAACACCAAGGATTAGGTGGTGGCAATTAAAAGGTGAGAAGCAAGATATTTTCAAGCGAAATCTTTTGGATAAAGGAATTTGGGAATCTCAAGGAAGTGCTAATATCATATGGGAGGATATGGCTAAAAAAATACGGGAGGTTGCAAAAGTAGTTTTGGGAGAATCGAAAGGTTCTGGTCCGAAAGATAAGGAGTCTTGGTGGTGGAATAATAGTGTACAGGACAAAATCAAGTATAAGAAGAACTGTTTTAAAGCCATACATTTGTGTAACAATGAGGAAAATTGGGAGAGGTACCGTATGGCTAAGAAAGAAACTAAGAGAGCTGTGGGTGAAGCTCGTTCTAAAGCTTTTGAAGAATTTTATAAGAACCTTGAGACGCAGGAGGGAGAGCAAAATATTTATAAGATTGCCAAGAGTAGGGAAAGAAAATCAAGAGATTTAGAACAGGTAAGGTGTATTAAGGATGAAGAGGAAGAATTTTAGTTACAGATGATGAAATTAAAAATAGATGGGAGACTTACTTTTCTAAACTTTTCAATGATGGAAAGGATTCATCTAGTAACTTGGAGGATTTAGTAACTGGTGAAGGAGAATAAAATTTTGTCATTCTCTCGAATAATACGTGATAAGGAGTTAAAGGAAGCTCTTAAGAAAATGGCAAATGGTAGAACCAACGGACCTGATTGTATACCTATCGAAGCGTGGAAATGTTTAGGTGAAGAAGGGGTGAGATGGTTAACTAAGTTATTTAATGTGATTTTACGGTCTAAGAAAATGCCTGATAAGTGGAGGAGAAGTACATTAATTCCTATTTATAAAAATAAAGGAGATATTCAGAATTGTACTAACTATAGAGGGATTAAACTCATGAGCCACACAATGAAATTGTGGGAGAAAGTAATTGAGCACAGGTTGAGATTGGAGACAAGTATTTCTGAGAATCAATTTGGTTTTATGCCAGGTAGATCAACTACAAAGGCGATTTATCTACTAAGGGGATTAATGGAAAAGTATCGTTGTAAAGATAAAGATCCACACATGGTTTTTATTGATTTGGAAAAAACTTATGACTATATACCAAGAGAAGTGCTTTGGAAAGCGTTGGACAAAAAGGGAGTACGGATTGCTTATATTAAAGCCATATAAGATATGTATGAGGGGGTAAAAACTAGTATAAGAACGCCTAGTGGTCAAATAAAGGATTTTCCTATAAAGATTGGACTACATCAGGGATCATCTCTGAGTCTATTTGTTCAACTTGATTTTAAATGTTTTGACGGAACATATTCAAGAGGAAATCCGAAATGTATGCTCTTCACGGATGATATAGTTCTTATAGCAGAGACAAGAGAAGAGGTTAATTGCAAACTTGAGTTATGGAGGAGGACATTGGAGTCGAAAGGTTTTGTCTGAGTAGAAGTAAGACAAAATATTTATATTGTAAATTTGGTAAAGGACTATTCGACAATAATTTGGAAGTGAAATTGGGAGATCAAATTATACCTCAAGTGAAAAAGTTTAGATATTTGGGAACCATTATTCAAAATGATGGCGAAATCAGTGGAGATATTTTACATGGAATTCAAGCTGGGTGGTTTAATTGGAGACCGTAAGGTGCCTAATAAACTTAAAGGAAAGTTTTATCGCACTGCTATCAGACCGGCAATGTTATATAGTAGTGAATGCTGGGCTCTAACGGGACAGCAAGAGCATAAAGTTAGAGTAATAGAGATGAGAATGTTACGATGGATGTGCGGACATACACGTAAAGATAAAATTCGAAATGAGCACGTACGCGAAAAAGTGAGGTGGCACCTATTAAGGAAAAAATAGTAGAAAATCGGTTGAGATGGTTTGGGCATGTACAAAGAAGACCAAGGGAGGCACCAGTGAGAAGAGTGGAACATATAACTTTGAGTCCGATTAAGAGAGGTAGAGGAAAGCCTAAGAGAACACTCTTGAAAGTTGTTGAACGCGATCTCTTAATTAATAATATTCCTAAAAGCTTGATAAACAATAGAGCACAATGGCGTCTTGCAATCCATGTAGCCGACCCCACCTAGTGGGATAAAGGCTTGTTGTTGTTGTTGTTGTTGTATATGCCTGATCATAGTTATCTTCACTTTATTGAATTGAGGAGAACTCAGGCCAATACAGTTGAACCGTACATATCAAGGCCAGCAGCAGACCATAATGCCTTGACAATACTCCTATTACAACTCCTTCGCAATTCAAAAGGAAATGTCACATGTTGAACTTTTACACAACTTCATTTAAACATTGTCAATTTTTCCATCACATATACAAGCCTCAATCTTCTCTATCATGTGGATTTTGCTTTTGGACCATGATTGTAGATCAAGTGCTAATCCTCTTATTAGTAGTTGGAATTGTTAAACTGTCAGTGTGAAGCTATAACACCACCACATCTTCCGGCATAAAGAATTTATGGGACTGCTGTGATCTGGACCAATAAGCTAACTGGACTGGCTGGGTCAGGTTGGGCAAAAAACTTGACCAATGGCTTAAGTCAGGTTTGTCCCAATCCAGCCTGTGTACATCCCTTCTAAAGATACTAATTTTAACATCATGAAATATTCTGTTCAGGAATTCTGGTGGTGGAGAAAGACAATATGAAGGAACTCACTGTAATATAACGCATATTATTTTTGACAGACTGAGATTATCCTCAATCCAATGTAAAGATTAAGGCTTGATCATAGCAGGATTACAGCTTAACATTCACAGCAATAAAAGAAAAATAACAGCCAAAATTTCAAAGCCACACCTAGCATTTAGGGGCTAGACTCTTCATTACCAATACCATACCCTCCCATCCTCCCCCCATACTCCTTATTTCCGTTTGTCCCCATCATAGTGCAGTACATGACTTCTGACAGTACAATTCCAATGGGTAGAAAAAGATTACAAAAACGTATCATGTGGCTAATTTTGTACCAAAATAATGTAACAAACCTCAGAGAAGTTCAGGTGGTAATCTCCAAGTTGCTTGTCAACCCATCTCTGAATTGGGATTAAATAAGATTGCAAGAAAGAAGTATCCCTTTCACCTTCAACCTTTGAACGCAAGCTTTTCAAGTGCAACCTCTCTTGTTGTCCTCGTTGTTCCATCAATGGTATTTTCTTCAATTGCTCAATTGCATGCAGTAAAATTCCTTGCTCATTTGTGATAACATACTAAAAAAAAAGGGAGGATTGGGACTATCAGCAGAAATCCAGAAAAGCAGTCGAACCACATCTGACAATGGTTCTTAATAACTAAATTAAGAAAATGCAATTGTTGTACCTGACGAAATAAAACCCATGCAAAACAGGTGTAATGGATTGTCTCTGTGATGCCTAAAACTCGCCAGGTTGACTTTAAAAGCTCAAGAATTTCTTCCACTTCCTGCCAATAAGATAAGCCACAGATGACAGACATAATTTAGAAAACAAATTGAAAAAAAAAAAAAAGGTATGGCAAACCTCCTACTTAGCAATTTCTCAGATCACAATTTCATTTCATTTTTTTCATATTCTGACATAACACTGCTATATTTCTTCATATTGCGATAAAATGCATGACCAAAGTAAACATATAAAGATTGGTAGACATTTCATGAAGTGAAAATTTGATTGTGGCCTAATTATCACACCACACCATCAGGAAATCAAACAGCGGACATTCTCAGTAAAGGCCTACCCACTACAAGGATTCAACACATCACTTGCAAGTTGGTAATGGAATAAATCCATCAATTCACCAACTTGAGGGGAAGCCCTCCATTATTTCCTAAACCCCCATGAATTTTGAACCTACCTAGATTCTTTGTGTACCTAGGTATTAGTTTTTTTCAATGTATATCTAAAATTCAGCATGTACACCAGCTATCTGATTCTAGGTGATTAATCCCAGAATAATGGGAATTTAGTCTCCTGTATCTATATAAGGGTGAATCACACTTCTGAATGTGAAAAAGAATACCCATTCACTTTCAATTTTACCCTTTCTCGATAACTAGAATAACAAGAAATATCAATGGAACGGCCGATTTACACAGGAACAATAGAGTACAGACTACTTTACATATTTAAAATTTTAAGAAAAGTAGATCCAGGAAGCTTAGCCTATCAATTTAAGGGTGTAATGGCTCAAATAATTAGTTTTTCTAGATACGATACTCAAAAACATAAAACACCTACCTCTGTCAACTTTCCCTCATCCAACATGTCAAATACACTTAAAAGTAATTTCTCATATAGTCTGACATTTAAGTGGTAACCATCTGCCCAATGACATATTTCACCAGTCAAGTCACCCCGAGCTGGCCTCTCAGCAAGTGGAATGGCAATATCCTTTAGAGATCTCAAACATTCTGTCCTTTGAAGTTCACCAGTTGAAGATGGTAGAAACTAAGAGGCAAAGAGAGAGTGAAATAAAACTAGAACAGTTAGTAACATATCAGCAACAGATAATAAGACAGAATTCTATGCAAGCCATAATTCACACACCTCAGATTCCTCAATCTTGGCCAAAAGAATCCTCAATTCATTTGTCTTCCGCCCAGACTCCCCAAATCCAACAGCAGGGAGATTAACAAGCCCCTCTTCCAACATTTTCAACTGTATTGACACATAAATAAAAATTTTAAACTCAAAGATAATCTATTGGGTACCAAAATTCTCGTAGTTCCATAAATAATGAGAAGCCAATATAGATTACAAAGGGGTACAGACAGAACATTAAATTAGGGCTACACAAACCTGCCTCTTTTGCCACCGTATAAATGCCTTTTTGTCAGAAAATTCTGTTCGTGAAACACAGCAAAGCAATTCCAAAGGAATCAATAGAGTATCCATCCTTTTTCCTGCTTTTCCCACAAGAGCATTAAGCAGACCTTGTCTTGTTTTAATATCCAATGACTCTGGTATCTGCGTGCATAATTATAGATCTATAACTCTAAGCACAAAATAGATAAGTCAAAACTGACCAAAGAAATATTAGCTTTGCACATCTTACAAACTTAGGCATGCCTATTACAACTTCACAATTAAAGAATTCTGGATCATTCTCATGGGCAAAGAGCAGCCCCTATCTCTTGATAATTTATTGACCCCTCTCATCAACATAATTGCTAATTGCTGCGTATAATAACTTCCAGACCACACACAAAAGAAATAACATGTCTTTCCTACAGGTTGAAAAGCCACAAACTGCCAATCAGTCAATTTTGTTGCCGTGTAACCACCATTCACAGTTTACGTCCACCAAACTCATACTGTAAGTTCCATTTTTATTGAAAGTGAAGCTAATTTTAACTCAGAATATAAGTGAGAATGAGCTTCAGCTTGTTTGTAGGCCAAGAACACAAGTCTTTTTTCTGTAGGGTACATGACAGTTGAACTAAATTAAGTTAAATAATAATAATAATAATAATAATAATAATAATAAAGCAATAAATAGTGGAAAAATAAGTAACTTCAAAGGTTAGATTACCAAAAATATAAAATCCACAGTTCTAGACATGTTAAATGACCTAAGTAAGAGTAAATGGGACCACAGCAAAACTAACTTTAGAAAAGGAGTAAGCCAAGAAAAAAATATGTGCTGAAACTAGTGTCTTCACACAATCAATAATGATTAATGAACTGTTTTTGTGAAAGGCAAAGAACATATAACTGAAAATATCTGACAGCACAAAAGATAAGGTAGGAAGACTAATAAGGAAAGAAACTAAAAAAGTACAACAAACAACTCTAAATGAATACAAAGAATTCCTCATATACCTCCATTTGAACACGCATGGTTTCCAACAACCCAACTAACCCAGGAGCATTTTGAGACTGGGAGACCACACTTCCACTTTTGCTGCGCCCAAGTTTCCTAATCAACCTGGATCTTTTTTCTTTCTTTTTTTCCTTTGATGGGACAATCAGACCCCTGATTATTGAGTGAAACAAAATGATGACATATGTGGAAAACAACCATCACACAAACTTTTTCAGAAGGAAAAGAGATTCTTTCAAAATAAACAAATCATGACAGCATAGCTTACCCAGTGGATCCAGCACAAGCCAAGAGAATTTCATATGCTGTTTCACGGAGATCATCATCTGTGATACCTAAAAGTAGTAACACACCAAATTAAGAAAAAAATTATCACAACTTCAGTTCAAACCTGTAACCTCTGGTTAATTCATACATCATCTAAGGAGTTCTTCTTTAGCATAAACCGTTTCAAAGTCCTAGCAGCAAACTTTTGACCAAATCCAAACTTCAGGGCAAAAAGGATAGCTAATTTAGTAAATAATTAGTATGAAATCTTGATGCTGCTATCTTCAGGAAATAACTTTTAAAATGAGAGAAATTTGCTAAACAGTCATCCATTGTATGGGACATACTTTTGGTTAGGACACCAACAACATTCACTCAATTTTAAGTTACCTAAGTTAATGCGCAAATATGATGATGAACCCATGATGTGACATTAAGTTCACAACATTGCACATTCAATGAATGCAGGACATGTCACAATTTCAGACACTTTTATTAATGTTGTTAACAAGAATCAAGGGCATCGTGGTCATCATATAAATACTATATACCACATCAGTGTAGCAAGAGGGTACCTTGGTGGGATGCCTTCCATTTTACTCACTCTTTAGTCTCTCTAAGTACTATCTCTAACATACATCAGGGGCTGGAATTTAAAAGTATTATAGCACAATTTAAGGCAATAAAAGAAGACCATCGTTTAGACAAAATATGTCCCTACATCTAATTCAAAGCTTCCCCACGACAATCCGAAGTTTGGGATGGGCAAGTGATGAAGAGGCAAGGAGTTCAAAATTTAAAAAAAAAAAATTCCTATACCCATATAAAAGCCAAAGGGCAACAGAAATGCTGCAATCCTTACTTAAACAAGTTTTCACCTGAGAAATCCATTTTCTGTTAATCAGCAATCAGCAAATAGTGATTTTAAGTACGAGTTGAAACCACAAAATGTGTACTACTGTTGGTTCATTCAAGTTTCCATTTCAAATGTGTTCCCATGTCTAAGAGGTTCTTTGTATTCCAAATCCAAATTTTATTTTGCCAAGCTCCAGGGCATTCACCAGATAATCAGATATAGTGATACCTAGACTGACAGGCGTAGGATAAGGACTTGTCAAACAGATAAACATCAATAAGCAATCACCTGTTGAAAAGGAAGGCAACTTTACTGCAAGATCAGAAGCATCATTCAAAGTCCTTCTTGCCCTATAATTCTCAACATCCCCAGTGTCCAAGTCATCATCAAAATCTTCAATGTCATCTACTGTCAGTTCCTTTTCTTGTGTAGAGTCAAAAGACTCTGATCTTGATGCATTTGACACAATTGGAGATGCTGCATAAATGGGAGGTGGAGTGGAAACAGAAACAGGAGCTTGTGCGGGAATAGGGACAGGTGGCGGTGCCCTTTTGGGGGGTGAACCTGAAGACTCCAGATCAGTGACCAAATAAAAGTCACCTGCTGAACCTGTATCACTCTGGTGAAGCCAAAAGCAATAATTCAAACAATAACTTTGATTTAAGGGGGGAAAAACAAATTCAGATAGCATGACTAGGAATAATAAGAAGAATTTTGAAGATGCACCGTAAGCATTTATGATGAAAGGGTACAGATAGACATTTATGATAAAAGAATACAGATAATCAGAGAAGCTTTCAGGATAAACAAGTCACTTGTATTACAAGATTAGCCTATCCAAAATTTGAACCATTTATGGAAAAAAGGGTACAAATAGACATGCTTACGTAATTGACAGTAAAAAATCAAGAGATCAATTAGGCATAGGCAAAGAATACCATATGGGGGAAACCAGTATGATCGTGATAATCTCTAATTGCTTCTGATAGGTCAAGCATTAAACCTACATAAAACATACAAGGAAATTAATTATGACAAATTTTTAAAAACGTCCAGTGTCAAGCAGAAGGAAAGTACTGCAATCTTTCACCTTTTTTTGCGCAGTTAAGGACATAATCCACACTAACTTGATCTAGATCCACATCATCCAGTGTAACTGCGCCAGGAGGCATTATAACTTTCTTGATTAAGCTACCTGAAAGTATAAAATCAAGAAGTGTTCGCCTGTCCCTTCTGTATCGTTGGAGAAGATCAATGGCATTTTCTCTGAAATCCATCAAATAACCATATGTGAGAGACATGCATGCTTAAATGATAAAAATTTGGTTATCACAATCCTGATGACTGATTTAAAGGAATGAAGAGAAATTTACTCTTCCATGGCAAACTAGGCGGCAATGTTGTTGAATTGCAAAAGAACCCCGGCAAATCTGCTATTACTACAGAAGAAGAGGCTGATAGTGATAACAATCAGAATTCAGAAAGATTAAAAAAATCAGAGACGTGTCTAGAATATAGCACCCTACTCAAGGGAAAAACAGTGACCACGCCGCACTGGAAAATTTCATTGTCGAATTCCCATTGTAAACAATAAAAACAGGGTTGAAGAAGAAAGAAGAAAGCATCAGTAAAAGTTCAGCTCGTTTTTCATGCTCGACAGAACCCGAGATCAGATAAAACCCAGGTCAGATTCTTTCAGCATTTCACTAAAATGAAAAATAATGCGCGAAAAAATAACCAAATAAAAAAATAAACAATCAATACTTATAATTTAGACGCACATTTTTTCCTGCAGTATACTCCCTCAAGACCAAGATAAAGCAATATAGAAGCTCATAGCAAATGAGCAAGAATTTGGAGAATTTTAAAGCCCAGGCAACCAAGAATCGAAAAGGTAATCGATATCTGGAAATGCGATTCAGAGAGCGAATCTTACTAGAAAGGAAAAGTCAAATGGCAGGTGAAGTGGATGAAAAACTTGAAACTTCTGAATTAAACGTGAAAAGGTTCAGTTGCGAGAAGACGTCTGATAGCTGAAATGCTAGCTCCAAGTTAAAGTTCCAGCGACAAGCTCCGTGAGAAAGAGGGGGGGAGGACCGAGCGGGATGGAAGCACAAATCCCAGTTCACAACTGCAAATTTGGATCCAATCACAGTTTTACGAGAAAACCTGAGTTTACACATGTATTGACTACTACTAAGTACCGAATATCATCAAAAATCATCGTTGCAAGATAAACGACACTGTCGTTTTCAGGTAGAAGAACGGCAGCGCTACTTTCAAACGACATTTTAATTCACAATTTTTAAACAAAGAAGGTTAATAACTAATAAGATTATATTAATTCAAAACAATTTATCAAAGAGGAACATTATCCATTATTAAAAAAACTCACAAACACATATCATATATAATCAAAAAGCAATGTTATGGACTTATGGTCTTATGGAAGATAGTAACAGACCCAACTCTTTTAAAAAAATAATAGAGGAATAGATAATAAAACATGTCACCATGCTACAAGATTATTGACTAAACATACTCAATTTTAAAGAATTTTATAAAAATATGATATTTTAATGTGTCCAAATAGCACAAATTGTAGCATAAAATATTTTTAATGGTCTGAAAAAAGGTTCGAAAATCAATTATGTATTAGGATGGTGTTAGGCACCTCACGACACCCGTTATAAAAATGATTATCCTAAGTTGATTGTGTGAAATTAATTAATCTTTTAATAATATCTTAATTTTCCTTTAATCACATACAAAAACAAAGATTAAAAAATAAAAATTGATGAAAATAGTTTGTTTATTTATATCGGAAAATTTGATCTAGGATAAAAGCCTAAGGCTTACACACTCTGTGATAAAGATCAAAATCCACATAATTTGTATTATTATTTGATTAAAATTTTTGTAATTCTTCTAATTAATTTTTTTATTAAAAGAGTGTCATTTTGTGTTATATAATTATATTTATTTTTTAAATAAAAATTTGATTTAAAGAAGTACAAATAAAAGGAAAATAACTAATATTAAAACTTGTGATAATTTAATGTTACTCACAGTTCACTAGTTAACACTCTAAGTGCACTTAATAATTTAGTATCATTTATGGCAAATCATAAAAGAATTTTCAAAGTAATTTTCTATAAAATAATTTAATTATGAATTTTCATACAAAATTTGATATCTATGATGATTTATTGTCATTCATTGTATCTCATTTGAGATTTTTAAGAGTCTACGGTGACTTAGCATCACTTATAGTATATCCTAAAAAAGTCAATAATTTTATTGTTATTGTTGTTGTTTACTTGCAATAATTTAGTATCATTCACAGTATCCTAATTAATATTTTTAAGGATCCACGATGATTTACTATCATTTATGGTATAGCTTAAAATATGCTAATAATTATAATATTATTTTCACTTGTGACGACTTAATATCATTCATGATATCTTATTTGAGATTTTTAGGTATCTATAATGATTTAATATCACTCAAACAAATTAATAAAATTATATTTTACAAGAAGTAATATTGATTATGAAAAACCGTTTATTATTATTGACCGATAAAACCATTTATGAGCATTTTCTCATCAGCGATAAACACAAGATCATGCCAACATCTTAAGATTTATGAGCGAGTGTTGTTTGGTAATAGATTAATATCACAATACTTGTCACAACCAAGAATCAACATTTATTTAATATTTAAGCACTATCAAATGAATCCATGGATGCATTCTTGAAACCAACCCCCAATGAAAAGCAACTACAAAATCAAAATCCCTTAATGTGGAAACCCGGGCAAAAGGAACTATCAATATCATATTTTATCCGGGTTTCCACATGCAAATTAAAAATAAATAAAAAATATAACAAAATGAATAAAATTGGTTTTTTATAAAAAAAATATCTTCATAAATTAAATTAAAAAGTATTTTTCTTTTCCGTGACCCCCAAATCCTTACAATTATGACTTTATCAAATTAAATGCTATAATTTGAATTTGAAATGATTAAGGCAAAAGTCAAATAAAATTATTAATGACTTGATATGATTATAATTGATTGAATTATTAATGAGAGAAAATCTCTAGTTGGGTTTATAAAAGGAGGAGGGAAGGCAGAAAATGGAGGAGGCACAAAGTGAAAGACAAAAAAAAAGGACGATGGCAGAGAAAAGAAGGAAGAAGACATGCTGATTAAGGTAATTTTTTGTACATATGTTGCCTCTTGCTTCTTCGAGTTTTGGTCTTGAATGTTTTGTTTTGGTTTTTTATTTTTTTTCAATTCTACTATGAATGTTGCCCCTTTTGAATAATCATGATGCTTGTACTAATTTAATCACTTCATCCATTCATGGAATATGACACTCCCTTTTTGAATAACCATGCTCGGTGCATCGCGATATTGCTAATACCAAATCTCAACATTTGAGCGTTTGAGTTGGGTTTAAATTAAGGGATTTTGATTTTGTAGTTGCTTTTCATTGGGGGTTGGTTTCAAGAATGCATCAATGGATTCATTTGATAGTGCTTAAATATTCAATAAATGTTGATTCTCTATTGTGACAAGTGTTGTGATATGAATCTATTACCAAACAACACTCAATCATAAGTCTTAAGATGTTGGCATGGTCCCATGTTTATCCCTGATGAGAAAGTGCTCATAAATAGTTTTATCGGTCAATAATAATAAACAATTTTTCAAAATCAACATTACTTCTTGTAAAATATAATCTTATTAATTTTTCTGAGTGATATTAAATTACTGTAGATACCTAAAAATCAAATGAGATATCATAAATAATTATGAGATATTGTAAATAATATTAGGTCATGTAAAAATAATGAAAAAATTATTGATAATATGCCATGAGTGATATTGAATAACTATGGATCCCGAGAAATATTGATCATAATACCGTGAATTGATATTAAGTCACCATAGATAAAATAATAATAATAATAGAATTATTAGCATTTTTTTAGGCTGCGCCATGAGCAATACTAAGTCACTATTGATTCTTAAAAATTTCAAATAAGATACAATAAAAAATACTAAGTCATCACAAGTATTAAATTTTCTATAAAAATTTATAATTAAATTATTTTTAGAAAATTCACTTTAAAAATTTCTTTAGAATTTATCATGAGTGATATTAAATCACCATGTGCCTTTAGAGTGTTAACCAATGAACTGTATGTGATATTAAATCACTATATGTTTCAATATTGGTTATTTTTCCTTTACCCAAAGGTACTTTCTTATAACAAGTTTTTACTTAAAAAACAAATATAATTACATAACACAAAATAACACTCTTTTTCATAAAAAAAATTAGAAGAATTACAAAATTTAATCAAATAATAATATTTTCAACTATGCAAATTTTGATCCTTATCATAAGGTATGTATGCCTTAGACTTTGATCCTAAATCAAGTCCTCTCATGTAAATAAATAATCCATTTTCATTAATTTTTGTTCTTTAATCTTTATTTTTGCACGTAATTAAAGGATAATTAAGATATTATTAAAATGTCAATTAATTTTACACAATTAAATTAGCGCAAATGTTCTTATGAACAAGTATCGTGGCATGTCTAATACCTTTTCCACACATAAGCAATTGCTAAACTCTTTTTGCAAACCATCATTTTTCATTATATAGATTTTCAATGTTTTCCAAAAACTTTGATAATGACTCTTATTTTTCTTACATTTATCGATCTTCCCTTCCTAAAAAAGTCACTATTCGGGCACAACACTACCATAGTCTGGTGCAAAATACCCTTCCCTATAGTGCTGTTTGTGGTGCTTGAAGAAGTTCGCAAGCTGCTAAAGGATTTTTGATAATGGAGTTGACAACGGAAGTGAGAGAGAGAGAGTGGAGGAGAGATAAAGTAATTTTTTATATAATAAAAAAAATTGGTTGGTGCCACTATATAATACTTCTCTAATTTTATTTATAAATCACTCTCAATATGTTTCACCAGTACCAAAAAAAATTTTAAAACTCATTAACTCTATTTTAAAATTTAATAAATTCTTAACTTTATCTCTATTAAATTTAGATACTTTAATAACATATTTTATCTTTTCAATATTCAATGGAGGATAAAAGAGAAAATTTTTGATAAAAATTTAATAACATGACTTATAAATAAGATAAATTTTTTCTCTCTCTTCCCTATATTAAAAAACTCAAATGGCGCCCCCTAGTGGAAAAAATAGACAAGGAAAACGACAAGCTAATGAAGCAAAGAATTTTACAATTAAAGAATATAAATGACTCATAGTTAAATTTATAATCATTTGTAATATTTTGTGTATATAGGTCAAAGGCAAAAATAACACTTATATTTAATCTTCTTTTTGGTATGTGTTTTTACTCCGTGTTTTGGTTTATAATTTGTTAAATATATACTTAATAAACTTACTTTTTCATAGCTTTTAGGTTTTGTGTGAGAGATCCAAACATAAATCTTAGATAAGATGTCTATGCTCTGAACACATTCTTCATCTTCCTTACTCATGATTTAGGAAGAATTTCATTTAAGAACCAAATATGTAACATATTTTTAATTTATGTCCAATGTAATTTAAAAATCTACCAAATGGTGTTGGGCTAAAACTCTAAGGTAATTAAAATGATCAAAATATCATTTTTTTTTCAATGTGTTGCAGCATAACAAACAACACAAGAGAGAATTAATAAGTAAAGTTTTTGATAAACAATTTAGTTGATTTTACAAATTATGATAATGGCTTAATGGGTAAATGGATTTAACTTGTAGCACAGGTTTCACAAGTAACGCCAATGTTCGCAAGTAATAGAAAGAAATGAACAAGTAAAGAAATTAACAAATCTTCTTAGAAATTAGTAACCAAATTAGCTGATTCTGGACATAACAAATAATAAAAGGGAATTAGCAAATAAAGCAAAGCATTTAAAAAATAATGTAGCTAATTTCAAAAGTTATAACAATGGCTTAACAAGTAATGAAGTTAACTCTTCGTATGGACTTCACAAGTAAAGTTATGAAGTTAGCAAGTAATGTAAAGAAATCTATAAGTAAAGTTATAAAATTAATAAGTCTTCTTAAAAAGTGATTTACAAGTTAGCTACAATGAAAAATGTTATTTTAATTATTTTGCTTTAGAATTTTATTCCAATTCAAACCCAATATCTTATGATGAGATTTTAGATTGTGTTGAGCATGATTCATAAACATGCCACATCCATAATCTTGGAATGAAATTCTCCTTAAATGTCATCTCAAATCACACAACGGGGGACACAATGGACGGTATAATGACCTAAAAATTGTATAACAACTTAAATGTATGCACTGTTGTATGTCTATTTGCCAACCTAGTGAAACCATTCGAACCAAAAATTGAGAATGTGGGAGGGGAACACAATGGACGGTATAACAAGCAAGGAAATGAGTGGAACACATTACGCATTGAACTATAAGCGGAACTAATGACTAGGGGGTAGGGACGAATCAATAGGAGATTAAGAGTGGGCGCCTAATAAAAACCGGCCATCCATTTAGGCACCTTGCATTTTTTAATGGAGAATCCCACATGCCTCAAGAATTAATATATATATTTATGTTAAATAATTTTATAAGTTTAAAGATCTATTTTGCAGTTAAGTTTTTTTGGTGAAGAGATGGAATTACCTCTTTAAAAAATACATAACAAAATATTCATAAATGACACTTAAAATATATACATTAACAATAAAATATTCATTTATTTCACATAATACACATAGTTTATAGTTGAAGGAGAGAAAATGTACAAGTTATCTAGATAATATTTATAGTAAAAACTCGATAAATAATATTTAAAGCTCATTTATTAACAATAAAATTTTTATTTATTTCACATAATTTATGTGATTTATACTTGTTGAAGGAGAGTAAATTAACAAGTAAACCGGATAAAATTTGCAGTAGAAATTTTATAAATAATATTCAAAATTTATTTATTTACAAAAAAATTTGTTTATTTTACAAAGTCTACGTGGTTTATACTTATTGAAGGAGAGAAAATTTTCATATTATATAGATAAAATTTATAACAAAACATCTATAAATAATGAGTAAAATCCATTTATTTTCAACAAAATGTTCATTTATTTTATAAAGAAACAATTTCATCTTTTCATCGAAAAACTTAATTGCATAAAAAGCTTTTGGACCTTCAGATTTTATTAGACCTTTAATGTAGATGTGTTGGTCCTAGAGGTCTGCAGTTCAATTCTCCCTTTTTTAATAGTCAAACTTGAAAATAATGTATAATTTGCATACAAAAACTTTTAAGCTGGACCCTTATACGCTTTTTAAAAGTTGATGTAGGCTATTTTTTTTTTAGGCATGCGTTTTACTCCCTTTTTAGTCAACATGTAGTTAGAATTATTGAAAATTATTTGATTAAAATTGCAATATTGCAGAATAACATAATTAAATTTTTTGATTTATTTTAATTTTTGAGTTAATATATCAAAATGAAGAAATTTGTTAAATTTATACTTAGCATAATTAAAAATTTAAATAAAAATACTAAAAGAATTCATGCAGGCTGTCTAGCTTGCCTTTAAACCCTATTAATGAGAACCATGCGTGAAAAAAACATTTGAGCTCTCAAAGATTAGGTTAATTTTTATTAACAGTTCTAAAGACAAGTCTTATTTTAGTTAAATTTCTTTCTTTCTTTCTTTTTGGCCAAACTTATTTTATTCAACTTTCAATTTTGCCTTTATAGGTTTGAGTTTCTCAATCCGGTAATGACCTTATTAATCATGTCATGTTATTAATAAAATCATTTATTTGCATTCCACATGATATTCTTTATCTATGTCGTGGTTGGGGGATAAAGTGAAAAAAAAAAAAAACAAGTCGATTTGTAACCTAAGCTTTGTCTTTATATATTATACTCATGCACATAAATTTTTTTTATCTTGAATCTTAGCTCTTTTTTTCATTTTTAAAATTTGTTACAATATCTGAAACAAAAAAATTTAAATATAATATTTTAAATTTAAAATTCAAATTTAAATTTATCAATTCAAACATAACCTACAAATAAATGACAATTGCCGAATAGCAAAGGATTATTTTCACTTCATCAATCAAGTGACTAAAATAAAATAGGTTAATAAATTAAGCTTTTATTACTTTCATTTTTAAGTAAGGTACTAAAAATTATTTTGTTCATTGAACTGATCAAGAAACTAGTTCAATAGTTAATAATAAAAACCATAGTCTAGAACCACCAATGAGGATTGTGTTGCAAATTAAGGTTTTAATTTCTGTTAAAGGATGTGCTTATATTTAGTATCCGATCACATCTTGAACAAAAGAATACCTATGTAGCAATAAAAAATAACACTCAAACCGATGATAAATAAAGCATTTTATCAAACCTCCATATTATGTAATTAGTTTACTTGTCATTTTTTTCTGATAAAAGATGAACTAATATTATAAACGAACATAAACTACATTAGGAAAGCGGGATAATGAGACAGTACCGATGCCATGTTGCGGTATTTGCAACTTCCACGGGGTGTCGTCTAAGTCCTAAAAGATAGGAAAACACATCATAAACACAAGTCTCTGAAATTAAAAACAGTAAAGCTTGTTGCAGCGCTTGGAACTGAACTTGGAGTTTGCCGATCTTCCCTGAACTTGGGTAATCCGAAGCATGGACAAGACTTGTACGCCAACTGATAGTGATGTGAATTACAGTTGATGTCCCCTGTCGTTGGAACTGAGAAAATTCCATCAACCAGTAACTTTGAAATCTGCTGCATAATTCCGTCGCCACATTGATATGTGAAATGGTGTAGACCCCAGACATCTGAGTTTGTGCAGGTAACGATATACTGTGAAATGCAGATATGTAATAACTTGAGGGAGATTGCTGATAAAATTTCATCCATTATTGGCTTTATTCTGAAGAAACCACGAAGCATCCAACAATATGCGGACGACGAGACGAGAAGGCATAAGAAAACGTGTGGAACATGGAACGCGTCTAGCTTGGATTCCGTCCCCACAAAAAACCTTTTTGTATTTCTCTTGAAGCTCTGGATCATTCCACTTTTTACCTTTCTCATCAAATAAATGTAAATATACTCCCTCATTTTATTACTTTCAATATGTTTTATTGAAATAAACATGTTAGATACTTAAGATGTTACACGTGTCTTATTGATTGAGTCTTTTATTGAGTTGGTTCAATGTATATATGATTGTATATGCAGAGGTTGAGGGCCATATATATCTAGTCCAAGTACATTGTATCTGACTCCTTGGATTAATAAAACTATTTTAATTCTATCATGGATTGTGTGTACTGCTATTTACAAAACAAAATGTTAAATTTCATTGATTCTGACATACATGAAAAAATAGTGATAAAATTAATCTTCACTTTGGCTCTATAAATAAAGCCATAAGAGTAACAGGAATGCCTAGTCTTATCCATTACAATACCTTAGTTTCCTCTACCTCATGATGATGTTCTCTAGTATTACAATATTCCTTATCGTCTTCTTCGTCACTCTCTTGTTCGTCATCTTCTTGTCACTCATAAGACACTTTAGAAATGGTTCTTCGTCAGTTTACCAGAACCTTCCTCCTGGTCCGACGAGGCTGCCTCTTATCGGCCACCTTCACTTGCTCGATGACGACTTGCCTCACCGGACTTTTCAGAAGCTTTCAGCTCAACATGGATCTCTCATGCACTTGCAGCTAGGTTCTGTGCCAACCTTGGTGGTCTCATCCTCAGACATGGCCAGAGACATTTTCAAGAACCACGATCTTGCTTTCTCTGGCAGGCCTGTGTTGTATGCTGCTAAACGTCTCGCCTATAATTGCTCAACTCTGAGTTTGGCTCCTTATGATGACTACTGGAGGCAGATGAGGAAGATCGTGATATTGGAGCTTTTGAGTTCCCGGAGGGTTCAAGCTTTTCGAGCCGTGAGATCTCAAGAGCTCAAGCTTTTACTTGACTCCATAGCTGCTTCAGCTTCATCATCACCATCAAGCTCTGTGAACTTAAGCGAGCTGACACTTCTGCTGAGTAACAAAATTGTGTGTCGGATTGCTTTTGGTGGTAAGAACATGCATGAGGAAGGAGATGATAATGCAAGAAAGTTTCATGAAATGCTCAGAGAAACTCAGGAACTGTTAGGAGGATTCTGTCTTGCTGATTTCTTTCCATGGTTGGGATGGCTTAACAAGTTCAATGGTCTGGATCGAAGGATTCAGAAGAACTTTAGAGAATTGGATGACTTCTTTAACACAGTGATTAATGAGCATAGAGATTCAGGTTATACTAAGCATGAAGCTGATGATAATGATGATGACCTTGTTCATGTGCTTATTCAACTTCAGAAGGATCTCAATCAGCCAATCTCCATCACTGACGACCAAATAAAAGGCGTGCTTTTGGTAACTATGTTAATATTACTTTTTTTTTTTCTCCCACATGAAAACTTTGCTTCTTCCTCCCAATTAATATATGTTAATAATAAGACGCCAATCTCTCATCGAAATAATGTAGAGAGATAAAGTTTAGGTTTGACCACTAATGCAACTCTGTTTTCGTATCTCCATTATTTGGTCAACCTGGACAGAAATCAGCACATCCATGTAATTAGATTGGAGAGATTCACAGCCACATAAGAGATAGGAATTACAAATGTTGGGTCCCAACCTCTCACAAAAAGAGTGGGCCCAAACTTATGCTATCATCCTCTTTCCTTCTGTGATTTTACCTTGAAGTGCTTTGAGTGCTGGCAGGGCATGGGCATCAAAATCTAATTCATGTGATGACCTCTAATACTCCAATTGATGTCTCTACTTTTCTTTTCTTTTCTTTTTTTTTTTGGTTTCTTATGATTATTAGATTATACATAAAATAGAGACATCTTGATACCTCACTGCGATGAATTACGATTTGCATTTTTTAAATATATTTTAAAGAAAATATCTTAAAATTGTGCAATTTTGATTTGTTTTCTTTCAAAATAAAAAAAAATCAAAATTGTATCGTCACCATTAGATATTAAAATGTCTTTCATTCTTTATAAAATCTAATGATTCAAAAGAGAGAAAAAGAATTAGAAGTTTGTGGCATTACAAAGAGCACTAAAAAGAGGTAATAGGGTTCCATGCTAGTGAAAAATTGCATTTTTGAAGGAGCAAGAATATTGAACTGTCTATGGTGGGTATATGCAGGACATATTTCTAGCTGGAACGGACACATCTTCAGCTACACTGGTGTGGACAATGGCTGAACTAATCAAGAACCCAAATTCAATGAAGAAAGCACAGGAAGAGGTGAGAAAATTTGCTAAAGGAAAACAAATGATAGAAGAGGAAGAGCTTGGAAGCCTCATATACCTCAAGTCAGTGGTGAAAGAGTCATTGAGACTGCATCCACCAGCACCATTACTAGTACCAAGAGAAACCAGAGAGGCTTGCAAGATCAAAGGGTTCGATATTCCGGCGAAAACCCGGGTTTTCGTTAATGCAAAATCCATAGGGACCGATCCAAAAGAGTGGGAGAATCCAGAGGAGTTCAAGCCAGAGAGGTTTGTGGATAGGTCTTCAGTGGATTATGGTTACGGTGGAGGACAACAATTTGAGATGATGCCATTTGGGGCAGGAAGAAGAGGATGTCCAGGGATCAGTTTTGCTATGCCAATGGTGGAGCTTACACTTGCAAATCTTTTGCATCGTTTTGATTGGGAACTTCCAAGTGGGGTCAAGAGTCATGAACTTGATATGCAAGAAGCATTTGGAGTTACAATGCACAAGAAATCTCATCTTTGCCTAATCCCTCACCCTGTATATGCCTAGTTGTTGTTATTTCCTTTATTTCACTTTAAAACTTGATTTAGATGGAAAGAAAATAGGAAAGAAGATAGAAAAAGGAGAAAAATAGGAAGAAAAATTTCTAAAAATAATAATTTTTTAATCATTTTTAAGAGTTTTCTCCCATAGTTTTCTTCCTTCCTTATTTTTCTTTCCATTTAAACATGGGGTAGTTGTTATGTTAAGAAAAAGAAATATAGAAATAATCTTTGAATTTTTTTTTTCCCTATTGCAAGTAGTAACACCACTAACCAGTTTTGATATGATATCTTTCATGTCGGAAAAGAGTTAATTTTTTTTTTTAAACTGATGGTAATAAAGTGTTATTTCTGAATATACTTGCCATTTTATTTAAGGAAAAAGCTTAACTAATTCGTGCCAGCATGTATGAGACTAGTATTTAGTCAATAGTCAATGTACAGTAACATTTACCTTAAAAAACTCTACACGATAACATTGCAATTATTAGTAAACTATTTTTTACTCGGGTTTGATGCTAAATCAACATTAGGAGACAAAAACCACATGTTTGTTATTTGGAAAAAAGTACTTTTAGAAAGAAAATGTAAAATAAATTTATAAAGAAAATGAGATAATTGTATTTCCTTTTCTTTAAAAAATATTTTTTTCCCTTACCAAACACTGTTATTGACACTTGCAAAATATTTGACTACTATTGATTTTGAACGCTTACATACATGAGAGAAAAATATAGTTTAATCAATTAATTATTAATTTTTATCATTGTTTTTGGACCTAATTATAAAAAAAAGTGATAATTACTTTAATTATCTTTTTGTGATGAATTATGAAAAAAATATTTTAACTATCATCATTGTTTTTTTTAATAAATAAGTTTGGAGGAATTATTCAAACTGCAAAAAATGCTACGAAAAATTTAAGGGTGTGTTTGGTACTTTGGTTTAAGGAGAGAGAAGAGATTTTAATGAAAGAAGGTTTGATATTATCTTGTTGGTTTAAGAGAGGAAGGAAGGAAAAATAATTATATATAAACAATTTTACTTTTATTTTATTAATGTTTACATACTATAAAAATATATCTATATTTTTTAAATTTATTATAGAAAGTATATTGGTTAAAATATAACAAATTTTATCCCTCTTATTCAAATTCTCTCAATTTAAAGGAGAGGATTTGGAAGGAGGGAACCTTCCCTCCAAATTTTAAAGCAAACAAGGAGAGGGAAGCCTCCATCCCACCAACCTGACATTCCTTAAAAATTAAATAATTAAATCGTATTGTACCTAATGAAAGAATGTTTGCTGGTAGGTGTCATCAGCACTAGGTAGGTATTGGTTGAAGTTTTTGTTTGTCTTTTTTTTTTTTTAAGTTTTGTATTTTAATTTTTTATTTGGTTTATGTTGTATTATAGGTTTGTATGCTTTCACTTACTTTTTGTTTGGTTGCATGATTATGTTGCTTTTATTGCTTTCTGGATTAGTAAGTGTAATATTTGTTGATAATCGATAAAATTGACTTTTTTTGGACAAAAGAAAATTTAACTAAGCCTTGTCACGTCAATAAGCAATGGATGTAGTTCTCTTAAATTTATTAGATTGTACGCAAATGCCTCCTGAACTATAAATAAAAACCTTTTAAAATAATGCCTTGATTTTAATTCTCAAAATTCAACTTATCTAAATATTTTATCATAATTTTTTTAAAATATTATATTAACAATGAAAAATTCTATTCCAAACAATTAAAAATTCAAAGGAATTTATTTATTATTAAATCATTGAGTTTAAAAATAAAAAAGATGATAACTTAAAAGTCTAGACAACTTCATGGAATCTATGTATCTAATATAATCTACTGTTTAGTAGTTAAAAAAGATAAAAGAAAAAAATTTGTACTTTTTCAGGAGCGTTTAATATTTGAATTTTTTTTTGGAATAATATTATCCAAAATTTTTTGCAAAACAATATAATGTTGGCCTGCTGTTAGTATAACGATCGTTAAGTATTTTTGTTGACCGATAAAATTATTCGTGTCACTTCCAGATTACTTCTTCTCTCTCTTCTTCTTTCTCCTTCTTCTTCTCTCCTCTTTTTGCTCTAATGATCTCATGCCATGTGCTCGGCAATCTCGTCGAAATAAACACAGCAACCACAAGCAATAGGCAGTGCATCACTGTCCCTTCTCTTTCATTTCCCTTCTCCTATCTCTGCTCTCTCAATTTGTTCACTCCTTGCTGCTCCTGTCACCGTCATGCAGAGAGAAAGGGAGATCACTTCTAAGGCAAGAATATCATAGCTCCAAATCCCCAAGAAATGGAAGGACAGAGACACCAGCCCTAAAAGAACCAAAATCTGGATTGACCCTAAGCCCAAGTCGGAGCGAAAGGTCTTTGTTGTTTATTGCCTTTCCAGAAATGGCCAGCTCGAGCACCCCCATTTCCAAGAAATTGATGGAGTAGAGATGGGTTGTTATGTCACGCAGAGCAAGCATAAACAATTCTAGATGAATATATACAAACAGAAGTAATCGGCAACAACATAAACGAAGCACGTTCTTGGGGGGGGGAACGAAGTGAAGAAGAAGTAGTTGGAAAAAATAATAATCGCTTATCATGCAAACGAGAGGGGAAACGACAACAATTTGCAGTGGATTTTGAATTGGAAGGAGAGTCGTCTCTGGAGTGAAACGAAGGAGGGAGTTGAGTGAAAGCACTTCCAATGAGGGACGTTGGAGCAGCCATGGCTCGCAAGAGAGAGAACATGACGGGCTAGAAAGAGAGTAAGGAGGATGAATCTGATTTTCCGATGATCACGAGGAGGCGAAACCAGTCTTGGAGCTCCATAGACCTCAACAAGTACAGGGTGTACAAGTCTGAGTCTTTCGGCGACTCTTATGAGAAACTCGCCATCGACCCCTCGACTCAGATGGATCATAAGCGACGGCGAAGGAGGGCGATCAGGGAAGAGAAAGAAATTGAGAAAAGAAAAGATCCGGGAGTGACACGTGTAACTTTATTGGTTAACAAAAATATTTAATGGTGAACAAGCGGTTACACTAACAACAGGCTAACATTACACTGTCTTGCAACATTGCTCCTAAAACAACATGGAAAATTAAATGCTTTGAGAGAAAAATTTTAAAATATTTTTATTTTTTAAAAAAATTAAATTAATTAAATTTTAAATCTTCACTAAAAATATCTTCTCATTTAATATTTGATAATTATATCCAGCAGGCGTAGGAGGATTAAAAAAAAAAAAAAAACCCCAAACCTCTCCCCCCATTGTAGTGAGTTAAAAAAAAACATATATAATATAAATGCATCCTAAAATTGGAATTAAAAACTACCTTCATTTCAACATTTCACCTTGTAAAATATTTTTCCCATACCCATATACATATACATATATATATATATATATATATAAAAGAAACACTTCGTTTCCTCACCGGTTCTTTGGGTTTAGGGTTTAAGCCTATACTAACCGGAATCACAACTTGTAATGGCTTCTAGGGGTAATCACGAACTAGTAGCTTACAGAGTTGAAGAAGAAATTGAAGAAGATGACGACGACGATGGGGAGCCCGAAGGCTGGGATGACTGGAACGGGGATGACGATGAAGGAGGAGAGGGAGGCTCTGGATCGGATTTTCTCTGTCTCTTCTGCGATTCCAAGTACAGTTCGTGCGATTCCTTGTTTGAGCACTGCGCCAAAGTTCACCGCTTTGATTTTCATCGCATTAGGAAAGATCTTAGCTTGGATTTTTATGGCTCTTTCAAACTCATTAATTACATACGCTCACAGGTTAGAATTTGGAAAGAGGGTTTGTTTGTGGTTGGCTTGACACTCCAGGTTATCGTATTATTAAGTACTTAATAAATTTGCGGAATTGGATTATTGTTTTCCGTTTGTACTGAACTTGCAGCTGGAGAAGCACCAGAAAAGGCAATGGCCCTTCTGTTTTGAATTCATATATAAAACTCTTTTTTTTAAATGATACTATAAAACATTTTAGCTTGAGTCCTAGGCTCTCTCTTTACTTCGTACTGTGGGTTTGTTGATGAGAATAATAAAGTGGAAGCTAAAGGCAATCTTTCAATGGTAGCTCATCTTTTGCATTGAAGGGATGGTTGAACTCAAGCGTTGGCCAAATGGAAAAACAAAAGAACTATTTTATTTATTTAATTTAATTTTTTTTTACGGTACTAGATGCTTACTTCTAAATGTTCTTACCAACTATGGGTTTTCCTACCCTCTTCCACCAGGTAGCGGATAACAAATGTTGGAGCTGTGGATTGACATGCCAGTCCAACAAAGACTTACAGAATCATTTGCATGACACAGTAAACTTCAAGGATATTAAGTGTCTATGGGATGATGAGAGATATCTAAAACCGTTCATACAAGATGATTCGTTGTTGTACAGTTTTGATGAATCTGAAGAAATTGAAGATGAGCAGTTTACACCAATTAATGAGGAGGAACTAGTGGGGGATTTGAAGAACTCTGAAGAGATTTGCGGTGGTGATCAAAATACTGTGGAAAAGATGGTACTTAATGCTGATGACTTTGATATGACTAGTGTAAAGGGAACTACTAATTCTGTTAATGATATTGACAGTCCTAGTTCATGGGACAAGGATCTTATAAATGATAAGGACTCGAGAGGGTTTCTTTCATCAAATGACAAGAATCAAGAAGGTCATTTGACATCTATCTCCTCAAGTCGTCTTGCAAAGCACGTCATGAAGGTTAATGAAAATTATTTTGGAGCTTATAGTTCATTTGGCATTCATCGTGAGATGCTGAGTGATAAGGTTAGCTGGTTTCTTTTTCTTAGGCTTCTTGTTTAAATTATTTTTTATTTGTAATTTCAGAAAAATTGAAGCTTCAAATGGAATATTAAATGCTATCTACTGTGCTCTCTCTCTCTCTCTCTATATATATATATATAATAAAAGTCATAGCATTCTTCACGTAGGTGAGAATGGATGCATATGGTAATGCTATTTTGAAGAACCCCTCTCTCCTAAAGGGTGCTGTAGTTATGGATGTAGGTTGTGGAACTGGAATCCTCAGGTGAGATACATGATTTTATTGAATTTGTTATACTGCTAATGCCAACTTTCTATAGCAAATCTTGGATTATAAAATTTTGTTGAAGTTCTGATTCAATTCTCTTTAATGTATCTTTGAAATTTAATAGTGTCATAATCCAAATATGAATTCATAATCAAAGGACTATTCTTTATTGTAATTCTTTCAAGGATTGTAATGTTCAATTAGAGGCTTACCCATGTAGATATTAGTGCAATATAAGATAGAAGCCCTTTTTTTAATTATGTCAGCCATATATTAATTTTCCCAACTGAGACCATGATGAAATGAATTTTGAGTTCAAAAACATGTCTATGATGTATATTTATGAATTATGTTTTGTTTTTTCTGATCATCTACTATGCTTGGTGATTCATTCAATTTAAACTGAGACCATGATGAAATGAATTTTGAGGGCAAAAAACATGTGTATGATGTATATTTATGAATTATGTTTTGTTTTTTCTGATCATCTACCATGCTTGGTGATTCATTCAATTTAAGAGTTTGACATATCTTTTTTTTTTATGATCATTTTTCTTTAGCCTTTTTGCAGCTCAAGCAGGGGCTTCAAGGGTGATTGCAATTGAGGCTAGTGCCAAGATGGCAGCAGTGGCGTCTAAGGTTTTCTTATACGATAGTTTAAAAAATTTTATTTTTAACTCAATCTTTGGTGTTTCAACACAATTACTGTATTTTTTTTTTTTTTGGCTTGTCAATCTTATAATTCAGGTTGCAAATGATAATGGTCTTTTGCATTGCAAAAACCAAAGTCAAGCTGATGGCCTCCAGAAGGGAGTAATAGAAGTGGTCCAGGGTATGGTTGAAGAGGTTGATAAAAACGTTGAACTTCAACCTCAGAGTGTTGATGTATTATTAAGTGAATGGATGGGATATTGCCTGCTGTATGAATCTATGCTTAGCTCAGTCCTCTATGCACGGGACCGGTGGTTGAAGCCTGGAGGGGCCATTCTTCCTGATACAGCAACCATTGTGAGTTCCCCTCCTCAAAGGCTTTTTGGTTTTCTCTGTTGTTTTGGTGGTTTTGTCTGACTCTATTTTTTTTTTTTCGTTCTATTTCTCTCCTAGTTTGTTGCAGGTTTTGGAAAAGGGGGTACAAGCCTTCCTTTTTGGGAAAATGTGTGTGGTTTTGACATGTCTTGCATTGGCAAGGAGTTGGTGAACGATGCTGCCCAATTTCCAATAGTTGATGTTTTGGACTATGAAGATTTGGTCACCGATTCTGTGATCCTTCAGGTTGGTTCACTTTCTGAATGTGGTTGTGTTGCACCTGGAGATACTTGAGTAGTTGAGTTCTTATCAGTGCTGAATATTTTGTCTGCTTTTCACAATTTTTAATGATCAGTTAAAATAGGTTTTGAACTGCACATGCAATTGTAATCAAACTCAAACTTTTCCATGTTTGCTTATGGTGAATTGTCTTGTTAAATTTAAGACACTTGATGGTTTATATGTCATCAGAAAGTAATATCCTTATCAAATGTTATCTCTGCGCTTCTCTTCCCCTCTTTTCCCCAATCACACCAGGTACCAAAATATCTAGTTTCTATCATTGAGGGACTAAAATGTGAAGCTGGCTGTCTTTCAGGGACAAAACAGTAATTTACTATGTGTATGTTTGTCTTTTTTGGGCCGTTCTGATTCTCAGTTTGGAGTACCCAATAGATGAATTAAATTCCTCTTTGATAGTGGCAGAATAAGCCTTTTGTTTTGAGCATAGGTGGTAAATTTACTTTGGGATGATTTATCTTCTCCAGTAAATTCAGAACCCAATTTGTAGTTTTTGCTGACTGTCAATATGCATTTTCCTTTGCCCCTCCAGACTTTTGACTTGGCAACTATGAAGCCTAATCAAGTGGATTTCACTGCAACAGCTACTTTGGAGCCAATGCTGAATTCTTCCCACACCAAACATTTAGATTCAAAAACAGGATGTTGCTGGTGTTATGGAGTTGTCCTGTGGTTTGAAACCGGATTTACGAGCAGGTTCTGCCAAGAAACACCAGCCGTGTTGTCGACTTCTCCACACACGCCGAAAACACATTGGTCGCAAACAATTTTGACATTTCGAGAGCCCATTGCCATGAGTTACGAGAAAGCTAATGCAGGAAAAGTGGCAGCAATTGGCACCAATGTTTATCCAGCTGTAAAGATTGATTTGCGTGTTAGTATTGTCCGATCAACGGAGCACCGCAGCATCGACATTTCTTTAGAAGCTGTTGGTGTTGGCACTGATGGTCGGAGACGAAGTTGGCCGGCACAGCTCTTTAGTCTGCAGTAGAAAGGCTGAAGGACCTCTATAGCAGAAACATGTTACTGGCAAGTTTTGTTGTTGTTATCTGCTTAGAATCAGTTTTGTAATGTTAAGAGCTCTGATTCCTGCTATTTGGGTAACTATGTCCCCTGAAATATCCATGTTCTTTGAGCGCGCACTAGTGCATAGTTTTGCTACATTGAATGTGCAAGATTCCTGAAGAGGCAAAATATTGTATTGGATTTAAAATGCGGTTCCCTGAAAATACTGAGTTTCAAATTTGTGACTATTTACTCATCAGATTGCAACTCGTCTATTTCTTTTCTTTTTTTGGGTGGTTTTCCTTATGTAATATTAGTACAAAGCAAGAAAGTTAGCCTAATATCAATTGTTGCTGCATCAGACATTGGAAGGAGAGGAGTAAAGCCCAAAAAAAAAAAAAGAATTAGGAATCAGGATAAAACATTTGACAAGACTGAAATAGAATCTTAATATTTTGTATTTTAAATTTGCGATATGAGTGATTATTATTATTATTTAAAGTAAGACTTAACACCTCCGAATGTGGGTTTGAATCACTCCATGAAAGCAGATTTCTGTTTTTTCTTTTTTAGAAACGGTCAAAAATATATAAAATGAAAGGAGAAGTCATAAAGATAATTTTTTCTAAAATCTTCTTGTTCTTAAGTCAAGTCAACAATGGTGTGTGGTCAATAATAATGTATAGATACCTATAAATTTTATAAAAGAGACAAATCTTCTTGAATTTGTTAAGTTCTACCTTTATAATTTAACCATTAAAATTGTGTTATTTTAACGGATTGAGAATATTAATATCTTTTATAAAGTTAATAAATATTTATACACCATTGTTTACTTAAGGACGTTGGAAATAATTAAATATTTTTGCACCTTAATTATTGATTATTGATTAGTTTTTACACCTATTTTATCTCATAAGTAGTATAATATATGGAAAATTACATTTAAGAACCTCTTAAATAAATTAATCATAAACAAAAAGTAACAATAAATTTTATTTTAAAAAAATAAGTTTACGTTTCATTTTAATAACAATTGATTTCGTGTATTAATCTTCGTCTGTAAATAATTTTTTGGTTCGACCAGCGTTTGAAAGTGATATAAGAGAAGTGACTTGCGCTTTGACCGGTCACGTGCCAACAATGTTTTCTCTCGTAAACGTGGCCATAGCCACAACAAAAATTAAATGGAGAAATATTTCTTTGCGCTAGTCAACGAGCATTGACGCGTATAAATGTAACCTTCAATCTCCAATATCATGTGATCCTGGAGTGAGCTCGTGAGTCGATACTTTTTCTCCTTTCTTTCTTTCAAAATCTGAGTCGTTACTGGTTGTTGATCGTTGGTCAAGCAATAAAACAGTGACACACATTTTTAAAACTTCTATTATGGACAAGCGAGCTTTCTTCAATTCTTCTACCTCTTGAACTGCAAGAGTTTTGGCACAAAATTTTCATTTTATGTTGTGTTGATAGTCTCTTATTATCTTCAGTTCACTGCTTAGTTTACTAGGAGCAAAAGAACCATGCCTATGGAGCTTGTGGCGGAGCTCTTCTGGATGCTCTATTCGGTGTTTTGTTCAATAGACTCGCTTCTCCGGAAGTCGTTGCTTTCTTCAAGAGCAGGAAGCTCAATGACAAGTTGCTCAAGAGGTTGAAGATAAAGCTGCTGTCCGTGAGAGGAGTGCTCGACGACGCCGAAGGGAAGCAGATAAGAAATTCTGCGGTGAAAGATTGGCTTGAAGAGCTCAAAGATGCTGCGTTTGATGCCGATGATCTGTTGGATGATATCGAGACGGAGGCGAAGTTGGGACCAATGAACGAGGCACTGAATTTCTCGTTGGCTTCATCGAATTCGTATGAGAAAGACATTGAAGATATAATTGAGAGGTTAGAATGTCTTATTGAAGAAAAAGATGTTCTTCGTTTGCAAGTGGGAATATGTTTTAGATGGTCACCGAAAACGCCCACAACTTCTCTGGTGGAAGAATCTGAAGCCTACGGTAGGGATGGTGATAGGGAGGCCATTGTTGAATTGTTGTTGTCTGGAAATTCCAGTGATGAGAAAATAAGGGTTATTCCCATTGTAGGTATGGGCGGAGTTGGGAAATCAACGTTGGCCCAACTGGTATACAATGATGAGCGAGTGAAAACGGTGTTTGAGCTAAAGGCATGGGTGTGCGTTTCTGAAGAATTTGATGTTGTTAGGGTTACAAAGTTAATTTTGGAGGCCATTGGTTTAGGTGGTCATGGTACCAATGATTTGAATTCGCTTCAATTAAAATTGAAAGAGATGCTTTATGGGAGAAAGTTTTTGATTGTTCTTGACGATGTTTGGAATGAGAATTATGATGAATGGTGTCATTTGAAGAGGCCTTTTCAATATGGAGCTCAAGCCAGTAGAATTGTAGTGACCACACGGAGCCAGCGTGTTGCATCAATCATGCAAACTGTTGAATCATATAAGCTTAAGTACTTGTCTGATGAAGATTGCTGGAACTTGTTTGCAAAACATGCGTATGGTTATAAAAATTCAAGTACAAATCCCAGTATTGATAAGATTGGAAGAAAAATTGTGAAGAAGTGCAAAGGACTGCCTTTAGCTGCAAAAACTCTTGGAGGCCTTCTGCGATCAACTTCTGACTGTAAAGAATGGGAAAATATATCAAGGAGTGACATATGGGATTTAACAGAGACGGAAAGCAATATTCTTCCTGCTTTGCTGTTAAGTTATCACTATCTCCCTTCACATCTGAAGAGATGCTTTGCTTACTGCTCTATATTTTCAAAGGGTTATAAATTTGAGAAGGAGGAGTTGATTTTGCTTTGGATGGCTGAAAATTTACTTCAGATTCCTCTGAAAGGCGAGAGAATTGAAGACATTGGAGATAAGTATTTTCTTGAGTTAGTATCAAGATCATTTTTTCAACAATCAGGATCTGCTGGACAACATTTTGTAATGCATGATCTTGTAAATGACTTGGCTCATTTTGTGTCTGGCAGATTTTGTGTTAGGCTAGAGGATGACAACTCAGATATAAATGTTGACAGAAGAATGCGCTATTTATCATTTCACGCTGCTCATGGGTTTGTGAATTTTGAAGCTATTGACAGAAACAATCGATTGCGCACCTTGCTCACTCAAGGCAACGCTTTTCATGATCATAAATTGCAAGATGATACAATTTCAAAACTAATATGCCTAAGAGTGTTATCATTCTCATTCTTGAGTATCTTGGAGGAGTTGCCTGAATCAATTGGCTTACTACGGCATCTTCGTTATTTAAAAGTATCTGGAACAAGAATTAAAAGGTTTCCTGATTCTATTTGCAGTTTATACAATTTGCAGACATTGAAGGCGACATGGTGCATTAATCTTGCTGAGCTACCTCAAGATATGCATAATCTGGTTAATTTGCGGCACCTGCATATTGGATATACTCAAATAAAAGAGATGCCACCGCACATGAGTAAATTAAGAAGCCTCCAACATTTAAGTCACTTTATAGTTGGGAAAGATTATGGTTGTTCAGTCGGTGAGCTGGGACAACTCCCCAATATACGAGGTTCTTTCTCGATAAAAAATTTGAAACATGTTGTTCATCCCAAGGAGGCTATGGAGGCTAGGTTATGTGACAAGAAATATCTGACACAGCTGGATCTGAATTGGGGTCATGATACTGATACAGATGACTCACAGCATGAGAAGTATGTACTTGATCATCTACAACCCCACGCAGGGAACCTTAATGAGCTCTCGATACGTAACTATACAGGTACTGAATTTCCAAATTGGTTGGGAGACTTTGCATTCTGTAACCTATCATCTGTAAGCCTTGAAAATTGTAAGTATTGTTATGTATTGCCTCCACTTGGGAACCTTCCCTGTCTAAAACGGCTTGAAATTTCAAATTTCAAGATGCTGCAGAGTGTCGGAAGAGAATTTTATGGGAAATTTTCTTGTGGTGTGAATGCCATCCAGTCTTTTGCTTCACTAGAAGTTTTGAAATTTTACCATATGCAAGCATGGGAGAGATGGAGTCACCCAGATGACAAGGCAAGCTGCATAGCTTTTCCTTGTCTTAGACAAGTTGTTATCTGTGACTGTCCTAGACTGATTGGTGATTTGCCAAAAGCCCTTCCATGCTTAACGCAGCTTAAAATTCAAGACTCTGGGAAATTTTTTTCTTCACTCCCCTGTACTCAGGTGATAAATGAATTACTCATTCTTGGCTGCTCCAACCCAGAATTCCCAGTATTAGTTGGTGTAAACCAATGCTATCAGTTACTTGAATTGTTGGAAATAAGATGTTGTCACTCGCTCAAGTCTTTTCCATTGGATCTCTTTCCCAATCTTAAATCTCTCAGAATTTCATATTGTGAGAATCTAGAATCACTTGCTATTTCAGCCGAAGACGGACAAGGAAACCTAGAGGAAAGGCCCCAAAATCTCATAGCTCTTCAGTCCTTGTCCATTTATGGGTGTCCAAATTTGCTCTCTTTTCCCAGTGGAGGTTTGCCAGCCCCAAATCTCACTTCTTTAAGCATTGAATTCTGTCCAAAATTGAAGTCCCTCCCTGAAAGAATGCATTGCCTCCTTCCAAGTTTGGAAGCTCTTACAATATGGGACTGTCCAGATATGAATTTATGTCCAGATGGTGGTTTACCCTCTAGTTTGAAATCCCTGGAGTTCTCTGATTCGGATAATCTTGTTGCCAATGGAATGAACCTGCACAGGCAATCTCCTTCTGGGCTCACACTCTTTACCATCCACACTGCTTTTCAAGACGCAGAATCATATCCACCAGAAGGAGTGCTACCAGGTACTCTTACTGGACTAAACATCAGCAATTCGCCTAGGCTCAAAACTCTGAACACCAAGGGGCTGGAACATCTGAACTCTCTCAGACAATTGGATATCTATAGATGTCCTAAGCTGGATCAATAACAGAAGATGGAAAGATGCCTCCTTCTCTCACTGAACTCAGCATCAACGGTTCTCCTTTGCTTGAACATCATTTTGAGAAGGACATTGGAAAATACTGGCCCATGATTTGTCACATTCCAACCGTTAAAGTCAATGGCAGATATCTCAAATTTGAAGGTCGGCAAGAATTGTAAATATAAGGTACTTGTTCTATGTTACACCCGTTTTATTTATTCTAATTTCTTGCTTCCTTTAGTAATTTTTCTGAGCTATTACTCTTTTGGGGGGATAACCCGATACAGTACATTCATTATGATTTTTCTGACACTATAGATTTTGTAGCTTCTTGCTCCAATAGAAAGTACTTGTTCTTGTTTATTTTAGTTTCTCTTGTAATTTTTCTGCGCTATTGCTGTTTTACATGGTTGACAAGGTACTGTCATGATTTTTTATGTACATGCATTGTAACATGAAAAATATAGGCCACGAATGAGATGCATTTATTGTCTTCCCAAACAACCTTTGCACGTGAGTAATGATGGACACAAATTTGACTTCTTGTCTTTCTGGCTCTTAACTTTCCACCATATTACTGCCTGTTTGGTTTGTCTTTAAAATCGATTTTTTGGGAGGAAATCAATTTTAAAAGAAAATTATCCATACAGCATATACATGAAATAATGGATTAATGAGGTTAAAATCGATTGTTGTGTTAAACTATCTATACCTGCTTATCTAATTCTCATTTTACCATATTAATAATAAATAATTTGTCAATAATTCATTTTTGTGTTGAATAAAATTTAAAAAATTTAATAATATTAGATACAAATTTATCAATAATTTAATTTTAAAAAGAAATATCTTTGATCATAATTTGTACAGCTAAAATTGATTTTGAATAAAATATTCAAACATATTAATTCTGTTAAAATTAATTTTAAAAAAATAATATCCAAACATATTACATTATAACATAATCAATTATAATTAAAATTAACCATATTAATTAATTATTTTTATAATTAATTATACTCAACTGAAATTCAAATGAATTCTCAATCAAATGTTAGTTTTTAATGCTTACAACCTGTTGATTATATCATATTTCTTTTAGTAACCTATTTACATTTTTAATTTGAGATTTTTTTTAAGCATACAGAATAATACTAAATGTTCTAGTCATTAGTTTTTTTTAAAAGAATTTCAGTAATTAGTTCAGAATGATATTTTTTTTCTCAGCAGAAAAAAAAAAGTTGACCATGACGATAATTGTTGGCAATCTTCGAGTAGTTGATCATGACATCAAAAACTATAACATCTATTAATTATAAGTGGTATAGTTCATTTTCAAATTTAGTGTACTTAACTGGTATCTAGTTTGAAAAGGAAATAGTAAATCATAAAAAATGAATCATATGCCTAAGTGATGCTGGAGATTATTCGTCTGATGAATCAGGTTGCAGAGGGTTTAGCCAATGCTGGAATCACGCAAACAGCCTTCTATGACATGGTCCTCAAATCTCAATGGATAAGGACCCTGGTGCAAAAAGATTTTCTGGGATCCCCTCTTCTTTAGTCTGTCTCTTTTTTTTTTTTTTAATTTGGGCTTAGTCCCTCTTGTATACCAAAAGAAAAAGGAAAATAGTAAATCATGATTGAAGCATATCATAGAAGGCTGTTGGGCGAAAAAAGTAATTCACCTAAACTTTGTGTTAGCAAACCAAAAAAAAAAAAAAAATTGAAGCAGGACCTTGATGAAACGTCCTTTAGTTAATCAAGGTAAATGGATTTAACCGTAATTTTAATGAAAAAATTACCGACTCTAAATTGAAAAACAAATATAAAAGCTCAGACAATGCCACAGACTTCTTGGATTCCATCTTCACCCCACTTCCAAGTTCCAAATCTCAAGTGCTAATGTCTGCTGTTTTGGGGAGGGGGAGTGTGAGCTGTCTCTCCATGTATAATAATCTCATGCACCATATGTAATATGCCTGTCCGTATTAGTGCTCTTTAAAATGCCAACCATTTAGGCAAACTACTAACATGATTAACACAAAAGAGATGCCAAATGCTTTTCATATATACATACACACTACTTTAAATATTCACATTTTCTACAATTTGACAGTGGTTCCTGCGGAACACGAGAACTCAACTCAAAATGAGCAATGGTCTTTCAGAACTTGCCTGGCAAGATCAAGAGCTCCACTCTTCTTGTAGATTAAATGCAGATTGTGAGCTGCTTCTCTGCGAAGGTCACAATAACCAGGTTGATGGTTCTCCACGGCATCGGGATTCCCATCCGGAAGCTTCGGAATGGGATAGTCTTTCACACGAATAGCAAGAACTTTCTCATAATATAAAGCTGCCAGAGTTACCATACCCACGTGATGGTATGCTCGTGCTATGTTGTATAAGGATTCCTGTAGAAGTTTAGAACAGCTTGCTTGCTTCAGTTTCACTATAGTTGAACCAACATGTAACAGTTGGGGGAAAAGAGACTAATGACAGCAATCAACCTGCTTAAGTTTACAACCTTACATTAATGGAGATTATTCACCAGTTATTTTGTACTCTTTTTTTTTTCATATTTTATTTAAACACACTAGAACTCAAGGATCCATGATAGAACAGACAATATGTAAACTTAAGCAGATTGATGTACTGAGAAAATGAAAATGAAATGTAGGAACTGAGATGATGAGGATACGTGTTTGTTTACCGGATAAAGTAGAACCCTACTAGGAGAATTTCGATCATAACCCGAGTTTTTCTCAGAGGAAATGCAAGTTATCGAAGATGTGGTCATAATTGAACAAGCATTCTTATGGCAATAAAAGTAGGTGTACGAGTGGAAGAGGCAGTGATGCTACTATGAGGCGTGGGGTTTTGATACAGCATGTGTTAAGTACACTAGGCATATGGAGACGAAGTAATTTGATTTGTCCAATGACTTCAGTAAACTGGGTCTTTGAGATAAAATTGCACAATGCTGGGCTGATATTTTACTCAACTCAGCTAGCTCAATACTTCGTCAGACTACATACATAGGTTATCTTCTGGCCTGATCCTGGCACTTAACATTTTGACTACTTTTAAATTTTTTTCAATATTCATCTCAGAGAAATAAATAAAAGGCTGTTGACAAGGACAAATAGGCCAATGTCCATTAGTGAGGCTGAGACTGCAGCTAGTTAGTATCTACGTTGAGGTTGAGGTATTGGGGTAGCAATCTTTGAAGAAGACATAACCATAGTGTTAGTGCCAGCTTTGTCAACAAGGCAGGTTTTTTGTTTTTTTGTTTTTAACTTTCAACGGATATTATTTTTATCTTCTTACATAGGTTAGAGAGAATTGGAAATATTGATTAAAACAAACCTGGCTATTTTCAGAGATCCTCAAATCGTTGTACAGGAATGCTAGACCCTGTAGAATACACTGATGTTTGTTTTGAAGTCTAAAACCCAAAGCTAAGTTGATCAATGCAGTTCCTGAACAACATAGAATGTGTAACAATCAAATACAACACAAACTCCAGTAAGTGTTACCTAAATACAACATGGCATGAAAGAACGTACCAACACAAAGATTAATCAAGGGATTCTCAGGCAAGAGTTTATAAGCTTCAAGGTATTTCCTTGCAGCATCTTGATGGTGACTAAAAATGGTAAATTGATGCCCAGAAATGAGAATAGGAGGAACACAATCCACAAATTTTCCTTGCATATGACGTAAAAATTTGGAATGCCTTGAATCTCGATTCTCCAATCTATCATAGAGCAGACATCAAATAAATTATAAAGAAACTAAAGTTTGTCTTGTGCCTTGCACAGGAAAAAACTTAATCATCAATAATGAATAAATTACCTTATTTCTCCATCACAGCCGATCAATAGTTTTTTTTTTTTTTAAGAACAAGAATTGAAATCTATATTTTAAAAGGAAAACAGCACGAGCCCAAAGCAGAGCTAATGTTGACTTTATGAACAGTAACAGCTTTCTACACTTCAATTATAAAGGTCTAGGCCTTAATTTTTCTCTAGGACATAAATATAGGTCCCACTTCTGTGCCAAATAAAAATTTAAAGAAAGATTAGGAAGCCTAACTAACATTTTACCAAGAAAACTCCAGGGTTCAGTGGGAACCAGTTTTTTCACCAGGCATAAGATTTCGCCTGTTCTTGAGAGACAAATTTCTAGAAGCATTAATTATTTGTTTTCCCTAAGTATCCTTAATTATGTAGAGAGAGAGACAAGACTACACAAATTTAATAAACTTTATTGAAGAATGGTAATTTTAGAAAAAAATTGAAATATGGATGTATTTAATGAGAGGAATTAATTTTAGTCATTTTTCTTAATCTATGTGAAGGTTGTTATTTCGTTGTTAACAAAGCACAATGACATTGTGCAATCCATATAACTAACCTAATGGGATAAGGCTTGTTGTTATTGAAGTGTGAAAGTTGCTAAACGTCTCTAATAAAAAGGACCAAAGGGAGTATTACAAATTAATTATATCTGCAGAAGGAAACTTCCATTTCTAGGGTGCTTTCAAAGATCCACCTGATACTTCCACGGTTCCACCTGATAGTTGTGACTAGAGAAGAAAGGCAGAGAACATAAAGAAATGATATCTACTAAAACAAACCAATCTTAAGTATTAAGCAATTGACATAACATTGACAAAGAAATCAAATGATTACCTTGAGGTAACCTTGTAATAGCAATTCCAAGCAGCAAAACTGTAAGGATGTTGCTGAACAATATTTTTAACACAGTCAAAACCGTGCTTAGGATCAGTGGTGTTGTACGCCATTTCTGCCAAAAAAAAAAAAAAGATAAGTTCGTTTTATGAGCCAGTTACACATTTCTTCTTTAGAACAACAGCGGAAATATCTAAAACTCAAGATTGGGAGACAAACAAGCAGGAAAAAGTTCCTCCTGCATTTTCTGGGCAGGAGAGAAAAGTTTGAATTGAAAAAAAAATCCAGAAGTATAAAAGTCTGTCGGGTTTCAGGACTCACGAGCTCCAAGAGATCGAAGCTCCTCTTTCTTTTCAGCAGACAGTACATTGTGGGCCAGCCTTAGAGTGAGATTAACAATCTCCAATGCTTCCCAGTACCTTTGCAAGGTCGCCAATGCCTTGCATAACTGTAAATCATATTAATGGATCATATAAAACAAAGGAAATGGGAGTAGTGGGGCCTAAAACTAGAGATAGAAGTGCTGACATCAATAATTATCTGATGATGTTCTTCGTCTTTGAGAAAATTGCACAAAGGACGTTTCTTAGCTTTTTGAGAGACATACTGCAGTATACAGGAAAGAAAGTCAGCATAGAGCAATATTCAGTGATATCATCACCTAAACATTTTCCCTTCGAAAGAGAGTTGATATTTAATATGAAAAATTACCCCAGGCTCATCATCTGACTCATTACTTATCCAATCAATTCCAGCAGCCAATGCCTCGGCTTTCCTTTTCTCTTTCAGAATTGCCTTCTCCTGTAGCTTCTTTTTGGCCCTGGAAGCTTTCAGCCTAATTTGATATAACAAGAGACATTCATTTTTAACTTGTAACAATACAGCAAGGGAAAATCCAAGCAAGAAAATCTATAAAAATACCAAATACAAATTTTGCTGATTTTTTTTCTTTTCTTTTCTTTTAACTGGTAGAAAATCATTTAAGATCGTTTTGTCATGTGCAAAGAAGACCATTAGAGATGCCAGTAAGGAGTGAGCACATAGTCTTCAGTCCTATGAAAAAAGGTAGAGAGGTATCAAGAATGGTTTTTAGAAAAGAAACGAGAAATACACCTATCCCATTTTCTTTCTAGGTCCATTTCCCATTTCCTTTCTAGAAAACACTTTTATGTGTACCAAATATGCAGTTAAAGAAGTCATTCATCAAGATCTCCTAGTTAATGGCTTATTGGAATAGTTGGTTTCAGGCAAAGCATAATGGCATCATGTAATCCATATACCCCAACTCCATTTAAAGTGCAAAGCTTTTGTTGTCGTCGCTGTTTTCTTTTTTCTTTTTGTTCTTTTTTTCTTTTCTTTTTTTTTTTTGGAGTAATGTGGACAATATTTGTTGTGTATTCTACAACTGACTCATGGAGGGGAATAATAAACATATCAATCAAAAGCGGTATCATTTAATGGGCTATTGGAAGGCACTATTTGCAGATGATTCATATAATCTGGAGTATTATGAAAACTAAGGTAAACTGCCTATTGGATCCAATTCCTTCCTGATTATTTGTCTAATGTATGTCTGCAATGGTAGTGAATTAGTTAACCACCATGGAATGTTTTTTGTTAATCACTAACAGATAATTCTATTGTTAACCAACAACAAATAATTTTAAGCCCCCAATTTATTTATTTGTGGGTTAACCACAGACGGATGGTTTTCATCAACCACTAACACATAGGTCCCACCAACAAAAGCTTTGTTTACCTTTTGCCCTTTTTTTACATTGAACCACCAAAAGTGTTCTTTATTATTTTTTAAGTTTCATCTACGGTATTATGATTGTCTAACAAACACCACATATCATTAGAAGGCATTGAGTCCACTTGTTTTGGGCAAGCAGAACAGGAGAGCAGTGCATCATGCACAGACCAGATGAAGACAGTGGTACATGGCTTCTTGACACTTGTGCAACTGGCAGTCAAATTTTGGGATTTGGTGAATGTTAGTCTACTGAATAAAAGGGATGCATGTCTCCCTTCTTTATGTCAATGATTGGAAGCTGTTCTGAGCAGCAAGCAACCTCATGAGAAGCTTCTGCCTTCTCATATTGGGTGGTCATATTTTGGCCATAGGCTTAGATATATCACGTAGAATTTTGGGTTAAGAAGTCTGTTCTGATTCAACTGTATTTTTTGACACACCTCCCGGCCCCCCCCCCCCCAAAAAAAAAACAAAAGAAAAGAAAGGAAGAAAAAATAGGAGTCGTACATGTAAAGGAAACAGTTAACTACAGGAATCATTCAACCAATTTCATAAATCAGGGAGGAAAACAAGGAAATAAATACACAATAAAGATAGCATGATACATGAAAATAAAAAAGGAAATAAATAAGTTAAAAACGAAGCTAAACTACCATGTAATAAACAGGGGATAATTTGTTTAAAAAAATGAAAGAGCTCATAATGGACCCTTAATCACATGATTCCCACAAAATTTCAGCATCCAATACTCACAGATCTGATGGAAGAGCTATTGGCCTGAATCCTCGAAATACATTGTCTGTATCCTGATCATCTAATACTTTAACCCTTTCAACCAGATCTTTTTTGGAGAGCCGCTTTTTTGTCTTTCCCTGTAACAACCAATGATGGCTTATATAAAACTGAAAACAGATCAGAAGCCTATATAGATATAAGTATTGATATAATGATCATTTGAGGGAACCCTATGCAAATATTGCATCTCTGTTAGAAAAACATATCCCTGACACATTTAACCTGAAAAGCACAGACAAATGGAAGATAAAGCTCCAGTTCATTTTTTTTAAAACCAAAACACAAGCTTGTTCCTAAATTGTTTTAAGA